AACACCATTCATAGAAATCAATCCCAGGTGCACTGAGGCCGCAAAGGAGAAAAGCAAACTCTAAGACTTCCGAACAAACTCGAACAGCATGACCATTTGGACTTGGGATATGGGAACTTGGGATTTCCTGAACAAGAAGGCAGTAACAGTAAAGACAAGTGACCATTCTGACTGCATTAAATTTAAAACTTCTGTCCACCAAAAGTCATGCTCCCCGTCAGCCGTGTGTGCTGGGTGCCCAGCAGACATCAGATCTTGGGCGCGGTCCTCATCTTCGTGACAATTCCAGCCGTCTGTGCCCTTTCCTCGGGGGCAGAGCGCTAAGTTGAAAACCCCTGTGTTGGGGCGGGACATACAGCTTGGTCCCTGAGCAAACTCCCACTCCCTTTCTTACCACTTATGTGGACTCGCCCCTCTCTGTAAAATTGCCTTCCTCTCCGAAAAGGCCCAAACTGCTCTGTTCACGTTGGCAGCAGCAAGAGAGCTCGCAGAGCACCACCCTCTGTGGTCTCGGGCTCCCATACTCCACGGACTCGGTGGACACAGACCTCAGGTTCCAGGTCTCTGGTGGCAGAAAGTCTGACTGCCGACGGGCTGAGGGATCAGCGTGGATGGTGACGTCTGGGAGCACTCCACAGTCCACGCTTTGTTAGATCCACTGTACGCAGTCTACGTGTTCTTGCTCAAGGGACGTGCACTGTCCCCTTCCACAGTCCACTCCCACCGTTGCCTAGGAAACCACTGCCACTGCCACCACGTGAAGTCTGGTGGCCCCTCTTTTGTCTGGGAAACACACTGAAGGAGCATCACTCTGTTAAAGGTGCTGTCCTCGAGGTAGAGAGTGTTTCAGGGCTGGCAAGCTGGCAGCATTTCAACACTTCTGGGTAATCGTACTCTGGGACTCAGCAAGAAGGTGAACGTACTGTCCACTGTCCACGCATACGCCTTGGACCCAGGCACGCTGTGTCCTATAATTTTTAGAGTCTTAATGTGTTTGGAAAGACCTACGATGACGTGTGTTCTAATCTTAGTGTTAACTCATTGGCCATCCTGACAAATTCTTTAAAACACTTTAAAACATGGGTATTAAATATTTAAAACCTTTCCAGATGCATACTTGAGCCTGTAAAATATTTAAGGAAACCGCTTCAAGGCCAAGAAATAAAAGAGAAACAGAAGGTCAGAGGAGTGAGCCACATCGAAGCTAGGGCCGACAGCCGTCTTCGGCATCTACTGACCCCAGCGACCGTCGGCTTTGCTTTTAACGGCTGCACGGGGGTGGCGGAGGGAGCGACACCCACAGGGATGGCAAACCCTTCTAACAACAAGTAGACTATGCCAGCCATTGCTCTAAGTGCTTTCCGTGCATCCACCCAAAGCCTGGGGCCCACCCAGGCAGGGGCTCGGCTCCAAGAGCTGCACGTCCGGCAGAACAGTGGAAGGTGCCTACCCGATGGTGAGCGCTCTAGGAAAACCCGTCCTAGGCAAGCAGATGCATCCGTCTGGGCACTGGCTGGGAGGAGGGGGCCCATTTGGGTTTGAGAGATCTGAATTCATGCTGTGGGTCCTTAAAAAATACCTTAGGAAAACTTTTAACTTGTCCAGATTGGAAGTGCCGTCAAGGCCAAGCAGCGGCAAACAGTTTCTCTGCAGGAACGCGCCCTCGGGTCAGCCTGGGAATTCCCGCATAGCAAGACCCAGTGACTATAACTTACAATTTTTAAAAATTCACAAAATACATGAGGTAACAAGCAAACATAATGAGTGAAAAAATCAAGAGAAGAAAACACCAGAATCAGACAAGCAAAGACTTTAAATATTAGAATTATACGCTACTGGGTATGAATTAAGTACTTAATATTTTTAAACATCAAGGAAGGAATCGAAAGCAGAAGTAAGAAACAAGAGACTAGACAAAATGATCACCCAGCTCTGACCTTGTAGCCCCAGGATTCTGGTTAATTAATTATAACTAATTAACCTGTTTAATCAGAGACAAAAGGCCATTTGAAAAACCAATGTTAGAGACTGCCCAGTCTATGATTAAAATCTTGATTTAGATTTGATTAGGGTAAAAACACTGTGGGTAATATAACACTCCCGACAAGTCCCCACAAGTCCCAGTATCTCAGCAAAAACAGAATTGGAATGGATAGTTAAAGAACTTTGCTTGGATTTGCTAACATATTTCAGAACTAATTGAAACTGTGAGCCAGTGAAGAGCCGGTGCCTCTTCCCAGAGTGTGCTCATGGCACGGGAAGAGACCTCCCTCCGACCCCGAGAGCACTCCTCCACACTCGGCAAAGTTATGCCCAGAGATCTGGCATACCATACCTATGTCACGGCCTATTCAAAAAATCCCGTTATGAAAGTGGCTTTCACAATCAGTGCTTTTATAAACTAAGTATAAAGCAAATCCATGTTTAAAATGTATAAAAAGTGTTAAGAAGGTCCTATGTAGTGGCAGTGGAAAGATAGAAGAGAACTGCTTGAAAAATCTTTAAAAACTTTTTAAATACTAAGTTGTCAATAAAATAATAGCAAATGCTTATCTACTTTTTTATTAAGTTTACATCAATATCATTTTCATTATACAGACTAATTTCATCACTTCAAAATAGTTCCCAGCTTCTGCTGGCTCATGACACCACCAGAAAAGCTGACGTCCGTTATCTAATGCTTTAAGTGGGACGGGGAGAGGAACCAGCAAGGCGGCTCCAGCTCTGTCTGGAGAGGGAGGGAGGGACACGGGTCAGAGCGAACACTCTCTCTACGGCAGTGACAAGGTGGTAGATGATCCCCCGAAAGCCTGAAGACAGAAGTCACTAAAACAGTCGCTTCGAGGGAGGAGTCCAGAGAATGGGAGGCAGGGGCCAGCGCTAGGACTTCCCACTCAGTGTGGCTACAGTCATTGGTGTTACCCATGTGCACATGTCACAATAATGTGTTTCTCTCTCCGTCGATGGTCAATTAATAGTCATCCTTCTTGACCTTTATCCTATAGATACTCTCAATAAAGCAGGACAATTAACCCTAAGAAAACTATATTCCATCACTTTAAGAACACAACTTAGTTGTGGGGAGAAGAAGAGTGAAGAAACCCGAAGTCTCCTCCTGGTCATCATGGCACGTGCTCACGGGGCAAGCGATGGACAGTCGGCTCCCGACACCTGCTCCCCACCGAAGCTCCGGGGCACTCGCACGCACACGGCTGTGTCGTCGCCAGCACGCTCTGCCCCCGGAGACCTCGCGGCGGCTCTGCATGGGCGGGGGCGGGGCGGGGTGAAGTCGTCCCCTCCTCGGCTTTTCCGCAAACAACTTTCTGGAGATCCTTGGTTTCTCAGTGGTTGGCCGATGCCAACAAAGCACGACAGGCTGACTGGGAGGCCCCGGGTGACTTTCGGGGGTGCTCCCACCCTTCCAGTGCCCACAGTGCTCCAGGCCCCTGGCTTCCCAGCACAGAGCTGCTGAGGAAGCTGGAACTCGATGGCGAGCGCCGGTGGAGGTGCGGGTCCCCAGGTCCGCCGGGAGGGCGCTAAGCCTCCACTGCGGTACGGGCGCTTCTCTTGAGGCGGAGCCCGTGGCCCACAGAGCCGGCGCCTCCTTCCTCCGACAGCGACTGCGCGGGACACACTCTGCACCTCCTGTTCCTTTGTTCCAGCGCTGACCAAGCCCACCTGGGATGACTGAAGAGCGCATCTCTTTCCTGTTCATCTGGAAAGCTGCCTCTAGGCTAGGGCTATTTCCGTGGCCTTCCACTGTGGGGTCATCCATAAGTGAGACCCTTCTTGGAGCCCCACCCTACTTCTGAGTCCGTGGGGGGACCTCCCTCCACCCCCAGTGACTGTCTATACCCTGCTCTAGGCCTCACAGGTCTTCTGGTCTCCCCAGTCCCAAAACACAGCTACAGCTTGGCAGCCCCGTTGGACAGGACCTGCTCCCCTCCTGGCTCTGTCCTCCCTACACGCTACCACCTTGTCCTCCGCCGCATCGGTCGTCTCCGTCTGGGCGGGCCACTCTGGCTCGGCAAGGTCACGCGGTCCAGGCTTCGCCCTCTGTCCTCCTTCCTCCTCACCCGGAGCCGCGTGCTAGTGGTCTCAGGCGTGCCCGGCATTCAGAGAGGCGTATGGCTCACACTCACAGACTAAGCCAGTGACCGCTCAAATGCTTTCACACAGCCAACCCTAGTTTTCAGCATTGCTTTTTAAAAAATGAAAATGAATGTGTCTTTACAGTGAAGCGAGTTTCTCAGATTTCTGGACTTGGACCCACTTGTGTACCCCCAAGTCCCTGTCCCATCAGTGGAGCCCTCAGTGACTTCAGCAGGAGCTCTGCAAGGGAAAAACCACGTGGAGACAGCGTTAGCCATCAGGACGGGGATGTGTGCCCCCTCCAACTGTCACTCTAAAGCTAGGCAGGCCTTTGGGGCAGACACCTGGCAAAGCTGAGAGCCGGGCAGACGACACGAACAGCATCCTCGTGTGGCAGGCCCAGAGGGGATACCGGGGCCACCACCTGCGTCAGCCACACCGCCCACACCCCCGCCCACAGCTCTGCCACACGGCCAGCCCCACCATCCCCCCACCGAGCCTCCTGCGAGCTGGCATCCCCGGGGGAGGATTTTTCTGAGAAAATTCACTACTGAGTGAACCAGTCCACCAACTGGTAAAAACTAGGATGCGGCAATGTCCCAGTGAACGCCCCGGAAGGGTGCCACGGTTAGCACCCATCCCAGGGGCGGAGATGCAAACCCAAACCCAAGAAAGTCACACCATGCGAGGGGCAGGCAGGGTCCTTTGCTAAGTTAGTCGGTCAAGAGAATCCCAGGAGACCCGAGCCAGGCTTGGGCAGAGGGCGCGGCGTCTCGCTGCTCTGGCCGGCGGGTCTCAGCTGCGGCCCCACGCTGCTAGCCGCTGACGCTCGTCTCGACTGTGCACCACTTACTGACTTCTAAACAACCTTATTTCTACTTAATAATGAAGGATTTGTGATTACTTACAATTTCAGACACTGGGATTTGGTACAGTTACATGGCTTTTTAGACTTTGTGTCCCATGAACTAAGAGTTACTCTATAAAGATTAAAAAAGAGAATATTCAGATCGTTACTCTTTAAAAGGAGAATCAGCTAAGCATCTGGTGTTTTGAACAAATACTGAAAATCTCAGCACCAGGTGCTCATAGGTACTATTTATCGGCGCCCGATCATGAAACGGAGTTGCTGTGTGTATTACTGCACGATGGCAGGAGCCTGGCCGATCGCAGCTAGGATGCCCACAGTCCCCACGGGGTGCACAACAGGACCCGACTGCTGTCCCCTCCCCAGGAAGGCTTCTGGACGTTATTCCCTTGATCTGTTTAAACCCCTATTATGTGGGGACCCTCATGCCAAATAGCTCCTTTAGTTCAACTTTTTGCATTTTCCCCAATCTGGAATCAGACGCCTTATCTATTAGGCCACGCGGCCAGCGGCGTATTTTCCCCAATCTGAACACTAAGGATAATGTAACTTAAATCGGCCAATCGTCATCTTATATCGTTTGGGCAGTGTCAGAGCTGTCCACGCTGCAGAGCTACCAGCAACGTCAAAGCAAGTTTCCAGTGGAGACCTAATTCCTCTTGGGATTAGCTCAGGAGCCATCGTGGGGGCATCAGAGGGGGACAGACGAGCGAGTCATAGAGGCTAAACATGAGGGGCAGCTGGGGATTAAAATCGGGGAAGGCTCCCAAGTGCTGCTTTCCAGTACCGCTCGCGGAGGGAACTCCGCGTCCTCGTTTTGAGACGTTTACTACGCTATGGTGAAAGGAGGGGCAAGTGCCCAAAGACAATGACGGGACGGTGACAGGGCTCTGCTGGGTCACAGGGATGCTGCTTGGTCAGGGGGTCCCTACAGAAACTGCAGGGGAACTTGGCACACAGGTAACGTTTGCCAACAGTCTCCTGTTGCCGCACAGAGCGGGGAAGCACTGCATGCCACCTGTCCCGTGGTTCTGATACAATTGCCCCGAAGACGGTGTGCCAGGCGAGCCCCTTTGCCTGGGCGCCGCACACTCACACATTCAGCTCCGTGGAGTCTGGACTGGGGAAACCCTAAATCCCAGCTCAGCCCGTTGTCCTCTGTACGTGGACGGTGGGTTCCTCCTGCGTGGGCGCATTTGCCTTAGCAGCCTCCAGCCCAGCCCTACTGTCTGGGCTTCTGTTTAGCGACATCTCCACCCCCACCCCCCCAAACACACTTGGCACCTGACTCATGCGTGAGCCGCTGACTCTTACTTTTGGAGACTCTCCCATTTTAAGATAATGTCCCCAAACTCGAATACTGTATTAATTTATTATTCGTCTCGTCTACTTTTCCCCTCTGTACCTAGTAGAGTGACAGCTTTTGTCCCCTCCGGTGCCCAGAGGTGTGCCTTGGAGCAGACGTGGGCTTTCAGAGGAGGGCGCGTGCACCCCTACTTCACTGCTCTTGTCCTCGGCCTCTCAGACCTCCCCCGACAGTGGGACACGGGGTGGCCTGGCACTGACTATCCAGAGGAACCAAAATTCTTTCCTCCAAAAAATGGGGGTGGGGTGCATGGAGACATTCCAGGCGTGACCTGCCACGACTGTCGGAGGACAGAGTACAGTTCAATGGATGTGCTGTATCAGGAAGATACCAATAGGCATTTCCTGAGAGATCATCAAGTGGTCAGGACAGTGATAAGAGCTTCAGGGGAAAATCAGCTCTCAGATTATTTGATACTGATTGGCAATGATATAAAATCCAGAAATGGTAGTTTAATCTGGATGGAAGAAGTTAGACTACTTTCAAAGGAGCTAGAACTCGCCACCACCGGTTAGGGCTGTGAGACTCACTGTCCATCCCAAGGGGGTTTCAGCTGAGGTAGCAGCATGAGCAAAGGCGCCGTAGGGGCGAGCACAGGGCACCAGGGCGGGAAGGGACGGGAACTGAACCGGGGAAAGTCCCACGGCTCTGTGGACACTATCCACCCTCTTATGCCAGTCTGAAAACTAAGGACTCGGGAGAGATCCTCACAATTCCGCCTCAGGAAAGCACGAGAAATAAACTCCACCGCCTGAGATATGACCTCATCTTTATGAAAAAAATTTTCAGAGAAGCAGACTCGTGAGTGTTCTTTATTATGACGTTCATTACGTTACCAAAAGTAATAGCATCAACGATGTGTCAGAATTCACATTAACATCTGACTGATGACAAGATGATGAAAGTCATATGGAGTGACAGGACATGAATTTTTACGGAAAGGGCATTTTCATGAATATGATAAGCTAGTTAATAAGTTAGCCAGTTCCCCACCCAGCTCTGAAGAGCAATGACAGGGTGAGTGACACCTGAGGACTACGTGCCCCGAGGCTCCGCTGACCGTCACTCCACTTCTATGTCACCCGCGCGGTTAGAAACCTTTGAGCCACACTGGGCCGACAGAGCTTCCTTTCTGAGGTCTTCAGACCTAGTCGGACCTTGTTATCTTGGGCAGTCAACAAGACAGCTAATGGAGCACCTAGGGAGGCGAGGGGGGACGGCAAATCAGTCGCAGTGGGAAGTCACACAGGACGACGCAAGAGCGAACGGGCTTCTGCGTGCGCCCTTACCGCGAGTCACACGCTGCTAGATTCCGTTCACCATCAGTGCTGCGGGGGCTGAGATCAAAGCCACGCGGCTGACTCAAGGGAGTGACACCAACTCAAGTAATTCTTTGCAGCAAAACCCCCCAAACACAAGGCCCATGTTGTTCCTGGCGCTTCATTCAGAAGAGAAAAATGTTTTATGACCCGCATAATTATGCCAAAATAAAGAAAACTATGTGACCGAGAAAACCGAGGAGAGCCTGGGGACAAGGTGGAGTGACACTACATGACAGCTCCCTCCTACTGCTCGCCCATGAGGACATGGGTCAGTCGTGCCACAGAGAAGCCGCAGGTGGCGCCGGGGCTCCGAGAGCGCACGCTTGGAATGAAGCGTTAGAAGCGCCAGATTCCCTCGGACGCTCCGGACACTAGCGCACACAGCGATCCCGCGCTGCCGGCCGGACGCTCCCAGATTCCACGGAAGAAAAAGGTGTGTCTTCTGGAGGGTGACATCATAGGTGGCGCAGTGTAACCAAAGACGGGGTGGGGGGGCGGACCTGCCAGCAGGATCTAGCAGTGACTCATGTGGCTTCTGTTTGGTCCAGAAGTGGGAAAAGCCATGATGATAGGACTGAGTACAACACCAGCACCCTCCCTGATCCGTGCCCAAGAGAGTGGGCAGGGAGGATGCCCGATCCCAGTAAATGAACCGAAAGTCACCTGCTGAGCCTCCAGGCAACAACCACCCAAAGACGGACTGCTGAAACCTCAGCAGCCGCGACCCACGCGAGCCCCCGGCACACTCCCGCGGCAACACAGTGGGGAAGGCATCGGTACCTGCCAAGTGGTTCTCGGGGCCTTTCTCGCGGTCCCCAGACAGCCCTCCTCCCCCTCACCGACACCACAACCAGTACCGCGGGGGCCCGGAGAGCCCCAGAGCCCACAGTGGACATTTCACAGACTGCTTGACCCGAGGGGGACGTCCGACCACTGCGTGCCGCAAACTCTCAGAGGCGGGAGCGGACCCATCTCCATAACCAAGGATCCATGAGCGGAAAGGGCTGCCCCGTCCACTGTTCGCACGTGAAAGTTAACTCAACAAGGAGTTCCAACCAGCTTGGTTAGTTTAATTAGTTACAATTATAGATACGGCTTTCAAATGGCAAGACAAGGCCCCAGCTAAGGGCAGCCCACATCCTCGTGGAGACCGTGAGCGTCGGCACCTGCCTCCGAATGCGGGCTGACCCAGCAGGGGCGCGGCGGCCCGTAAAGGCACACTCAGACCACGGTCAAGGTTAAGTGGCTGCCACATCATTACTCATGTTGATGATTGCGAGAAAGAAACAGAGCATCTCTGTTTAAACTGATGTGAGACCAAGCCAGAGTTGTGGATGGCGGTGGGCCCTGAAACCCCGGCGCGGACAGCGGACAGCACGGAAGCCCTTCCAGCCACAAACCAGACACACACAGCAACACGGCTGGTACCATTGCTTCATATAAAATACAGTTTTTAGAGGTCACGAAGGTTTACTGGTAAAGCTGATTTTAGAACTTAGGAAAAAAACACCACAGTACCCAAAAGTCTCTTAAACTCTTCTACTAAAGTAAGTGACAACTGATTGCTGTTCATCCTTACCCAGCCAAGGTGAGCTTTGGCGGTCCTGGGAGAGCAGATCCCGAAGGGAAAGCAGACCCGTTGACTAGGGATGGTAAGCCTCCGTTTTCAAGCTGTAGAAAGTCAAAGACAAACATATTTCTAATTAGAACGTGTTTCATAAGTTTTGTCTAGTGAACATCTAAATCCAGACAAAAATGACTGGTTTTCTTCTGGAGGTTTATATCACAATGGCCTGACATTAGGCCCTGCCACCATGACGGTTCCCTTCCCCCTGGAGTGGGCTCCAGCCCAGGCTTCTCTGCAGCAGTGGGCGAGCCCAGCCCAGTGTGTCCCAGAACCACCTGGCCACTCCGGCCCGGGGAGGGGAGAGTCCTGCCTGTGTGGACCAGGTGTAGGGGGTAAGGATTCGGGGCCTGGCCAACCACACACAGGTGTTGGGCACTGGCCGTGCACACTGGAATGGACAGTTTTTTTCATTTTTATGACTACAAATTGTGAGTTAAATTAAATCACAAACTTCTGCACTAACTTCTGTACACTGAAACTGTTCTTTAATTATGATGACATTCCTGGTATAACATAAGAGCCCTGGACATCTAAGGTCTTATCAACCATCAGTGTCTCATCTAGTCAAAAAAAAAAAGAAAAAAATTGTAGCCGGTTTCAACAAATCCAAAAGACATGTCACAACCTCTGTCCCCTCTGTGTCTTTGCTTTCCAGCCTCTCATTTATCTTTCTTTCTATTACTCGTTAGCACGGCTCACAGATGATCGTCCCAAGAAAAGGAAAGTGTAGCAAAGTCAGCAATGACCTCATGCTCTTCTTATGGGAAGCCTGAAGACATGTAAAGAATTGCATAAATTCAGGTTTTGAGATGATTTGCATATATCACACTTCAATACCCTATCCTTGTCCCTTCCTCCCCCGAACACTTGAAATTTCAAAGTCAGTTTTATATAAAAAGTATAGTCTTGGGGGGCCCCTGGCCCGCTGAGTCAGAAGGGTACGTGACTCTTGATCTCAGGGTCATGAGTTTGAGCCCCACGTTGCGTGTAGAGATTACTTAAATAAGTAAAACTTTTTTTTTTTTTTAAACTACAGTTTTGGAGAAACAAACCTTTTGTTCATTCTATTTATTTTCTCTCTTCTGCCTCTTATTGTGTGTCATCACTGCCTGTGGGACTTGAAGACCCTGAGAAGCCACTCTGGGTCTACATCCTTGAGCACAAGGCCCCATCCCTCTAGGGATCCCCATCCCTCCAGGGAGCCTCACCCAGGAGCCCCTTTCTTCTGCTGGGGGCTCTGTCCTCCTCACTCAACTTACAGGAGGGCAGTGTCTACAAATTACCTGAAACCGTCTCTTTCCCGTCACCCAGACACCGGTGGGGCCCATGTTCCCAGAGGTGGTCGGAAGTTTGGGATTCCTTTTGAGAAAGGATTTCACAATTCTCAGGATTGAGGCAATCCTTCGCATAAACGGGGGTACAATTTCTCCTTTCCCCTTTGCTTATTTAGTCCCAAAGTAAAGCAGAGAAAAGGGGATGACTTCAGGACGGCATAGGTAGTTAATCTAAACAACTTTATGCTGGAACCCACGACCTTCTTCAGCAAGGCTGGCCACCTAGGAGCAGAGGCGGAAACGCTCAGGCAGTCTTCTCAGTCACATCACCTGGGCTCTTGCTAAAACAAAGATTCTGGGTCAGTGAGTCTGGGGCAGGGCCTGAGATCCTGCATTTCTGTCAAGTTCCCAGATAATGCCCAGGCTCCTAGTCCGTGCACCACACTGTGAGTAGCAAAGTGCTTAAAAACTATAAGGAATTTGGGGGAGCGTGCGACTCTTGATCTCATGGCTGTGAGTTCAAGCCCCATGGTGGGCGTAGAGATTACTTAAAAATAAAATCTTTAAAAATATACAGAATTGGGAGTTTGGCAAGGAAGCAGCAAACGTATGGCTAAAGGGATTGCCTCAAGGTCACACCGGCTAGAGATCAGGGGCAGTCAACACCAGGACAAGAATAACACAGCCAAGAAAAGATGAGGAGGAGGTGGAAAGCAAGAGGCTGCGGTCCGAAGGACCACTTCTAGGGCACAACCTTAGCGGTAGAGCAAGTCTAGCGTGTGCCTGCCTGGTTGGGGCTGACACAGTGGGGAAAGGAAGGCGGGAGGAGTGGAGGCAGCCAGGAGGCCAGAGCCTTGTGTGCAGGACCCGCGAGTGTCTGCCTCGGGCGCTCCCGGGGTCACAGCTCGGGATCTCCCGCACTGACCAATACAATATTGAGAAATACTTATTTACCCACTCGACAAACATCCGACTCTGCTTATACCCGCTGCCTCACGGGTCTCCTCTGGTCTCAAGGACTTAAATGCCATCTACGCCCTGGTGACTTCTTCCCTCCAGCCCAAACCTTCCTCAGACTGATCTCCAGGCCCACGTGTCCCACTCCTGCCCACCATTGTCACTCAGATGTCTCAAATGTAACACGTCAAGGCCAGGGAACTCCTAGTCTCCCTCATAAGACATGCACTACCCTCAGCTCTTGATGGAAACACCCTGTTTGTTCTGGCTGAAAACCGTGGGGGCATCCATGCTTGCGCGCGCGCGCTCGCTCTCTCTCTCTCTCTCTCTCTCTCTCTCGCTTCCCACATCCAGCCCATCACAAGCCCTGCCAGCCTGTAGGGGATCCGGATAAGCTGTTTCTGCTCCACTGGCCCCGCCTGGTCTGAGCGGCTGTCATCTCTGCCCCGCCCCCCACCACCCCACACTATGGGACTCTCCCAGTGGCGGGTCCCCTACACCCACTTGGCCCCCACCCTTCCCCCAGCCCTATGCTTCCTTCTCTTCCACTCCCTTCTGCTACCTTCCTCTTGCACACTCCCCCTCCCCCTGGCAGCCTCCTCACTGTCTCTACAGCAGGTTGACCCTGTATTGTGCTCTTCTGCTTGCCTGGAATGTTCTCCCCCGTGATGGTCACACAGCTCTCCCTCTCCTCTCAAGATTTTGCTCAACCATCACCTTCTCGATGGCGCCACCCGTGGCTGGCATCCTGCCTTGCCCCCGCAGAAGCTCTGAACCCGATGCCTGTCCTCTGCTCTCCTGGCACACAATATAGTTTATTTACTACATTTGCCCATGTTGTCTGTCTCCCACACTAAAATGTAGGCTGCAGGGGGCAGAGTCACATGTTTTCTTTTGTTTTGTTCGGGGGCATCACTCAGCATTGGCTCGCTGATGTGGTCCGAGTGCTCAGACCAGCACCGGCCCTACGGAAAGTCGCTCTGTGTGACCGCCCTGTACGTGCCAGGCTTCGTTCCAGGTCTCAGTTTACAGAGACAAACTAGGTTCACAAGATCTCTACTCCTGAGGACCTGGCATACCCGCGGGGAGATGCAGACAAACAGACAAACCAGAAGAACTCAAGACCGTGACAGTGCTGGGCAGAGAAGCAGACAGGTGCAGTGACAGTGACTGGCTGTCACACTGGGGAGTCATGAAAGTCTCTTTTGGGGTAGTGACATTTTATATCAAGACTTAGGCAAAATAACACATTTGTCTTATATTTAGTATGTGCCTATTGTGATACAATCATAAAAGCATTTTAAACTCTAAAAAAGCATTTCCATTCTACAGAGGAAGGTGAGGAATGTTCTACACCAAATGGGTGGTGTGTCCTGCTAGATGGACAGCAGGCTGCAAAAAACGAGCTCAACAAATGGGGTTTCAGAAGGTTGGTCTGATGGCTGTAGGAAAGTGCAAGAAAGCCCACAGGGTTGGCTCAGAATTGCTTTGAACCTGTGCCACTGCCTCCCAACCCCCAGTGTCTGACCCAGCAGTGAAGGTATGGAACACATAGTAAAGGTTTCACTGTCGATTTTAAAACAGAGGATAAATTACATTTCCTGAGTAATTCCAACTTCAACAATTGAAATTTTAGGAGAAAATAGTGCCCAACTGTATTTTTTTTTTAATTAAAACAATGACTCACTTGTTGCGTAATGAGATTTAATTTTGCTGGTACTGGCAAAAATCTTCCTACTAAAGTAGTCATTGGTTTAGGGACATCTGTAAGGAAGACAATTAAAATTAATCGATTCCTTTTCTACCTGCACATGGAAGAAAGTACAAAAATGATCATGTATCATGGATTTATCATGTGCAAAATCATTTAGACTTATCTTGATCCTATTTGTTTTTTATTCTGTAAAAACTTTTGAGTCATTATTATTATTATTATTATTATTTTTACATATTACACCTTTTTCTTGGTTCTAAAGCTGCTTAATTTAAGCTTCCAGGGTTAGTCTACTATGCTAAAAACAAAACAAAACAAAACAAAACAAAACTACGGCTAGTGCCCAAGTTCCCATGCTCTGGGTCCGGGCCAGCCCCCCCCACCCCCACCCCAGCCCCAGCAAACTTAAGGGAGGCCCTGGATCCGCCCCACTTTCAAGGAAGGCACAGCGACATCTGTTGGACATCGTGTGAACTACTTTCAATTTATATGTATTCTTTTTTTCAAATGGTTACTAATTTGCTAGGATGTAAATACTTATTAGGCTCTTTGGACCAAACTATTTAGCTAATGGAACGGATTCGTATATCTTTGGTGTAAGTGTGCCGTGGAAAACATTCCTGACACACGGAAGGCCCTGCAAACCTCAGTGCTCCCGAGCAGAGGCGGAGGAAGAAACATGTCTTCAGCCACTGACCAGCTGAACACATCCCCTGCTCCGGGCTCACGCATCCTTTGAGCGATGTTACCTTGACCCTTCGGTAACCAGGATGTATTTATCTCATGCTGGTATTTCACATGTCCATGGTGACGAGATTATGATTCTATGACAAGGAAGTAGTTTTGGAGAACACCATATAAAGCCTTTCCTTTTGTGGATCTAAAGGCATTAGGACTGGGTCATGTTCCAGAAGGAGGGGAATTAGGAAAGAAGCCTCCCCAGCTTGTGCAGAGGATCAGATGTCGCTCCAACCTACAGGAGATGGAGCCAGAAGACCATGGGGGGCATGGACAAAGGGCTTCTGGAAGACTAAACTCCACCCCTGATTCCGTACCACAGAAAAGCCAATGTCTTGAAGGCATTTTATCTGTACCTAAATAAAGAGACTATCAGTTTGGAACAGGAGTTACAGTATTTCCTCTAGCCCTGAACTCTGTAGTGCCACTGAAATGACATCTGTACTTAATATTGATTTAAATTACCAGCAAGTACGGCATGGGGAACCCAGTCAGTAATACCGCATCAACTTTGTGTAGCAGCAGATGGTAACTAGACTTACTGTGCTGATCGTTTCCCGTGTATACAAACTTCAAATCACTATGTTGTACAAACAAAACTAATATAATGTGGTAGGTGGATTATACTTCAACAACAACAAAAACAAAAAATAAACCATTGACAAGATCAGCAAAATATCTGATAATTAAAATATTCTGATTAACTCAAGATTTAGACTAACATGATTATGTACACAATCCACACAGAGATACCTAGTTTTCAAGAATTAGGGTCTAACTTTTGTAAATACAATCCTAAGACTCTGTTATTTATTCTTTCTTTAATCACTTAAAAGTGATTTGAGGATAATTAAGGACTCCTAGGTCATATATTATTATTATGTCAGTTTAAAGATGTTTCTGAGAGAATGGCAGAGAAAAATCAGCATTTGATATATTTTAAAACTCAGTGGTGATTAAAGCATAGTCACAGTTCTCACTGATTACACGAAAATGTTTCCATTAAACTGTATACAGTGTAACCGCACCTGAACCGTCAACCCCCTGCCCAACCTAGGGGAGGCTGACGTCCCAACCCAGTCCCCTCTCAACACATGCACATGTCATAACAGCAGTCACCTGTTAGCGTCACATGCTCTCTGCAGCTAGCAAAGTAGAGGATAACTATTCAAGAACACAATGTACATAAATTAGTCTATAAAGATTTTTGTTTCTATTCTTAGTTCACTTAAGAGGGTGAACAGATTTAGCAAGTTGCCTAGTTAACAACCTAACCACCTACTTTACTTTTACTCTATATACAAAGCCAAACATAATCACTTATCAACTTACATATGACATATGACATAAGTTTTTATTAATGTACTCTGTACCTGACTGTAGATAATTATTTTGGTCTTGATACTGAGGAACCAAATGAAGAGCTTTTAGTTCTCTTGTGCCAGAATTGTCTATACACAGCATTTGTGTACCCCCTTTCAACTGACATATCACCTAAAATGAAAAATAATGATCAGGTTTAATTTTTAAAAGATATCCAGTAATACGAATCTAAATGAACTTAAATCTGAGAAAGTAACTTTAATCCAGAATTTCAGTTTTAACGGAAAACGGCAAGCTAAAATCTGTTCTCTATTTCTTACTCCACAGTAATATGTTCTCTGGAGGAACCACAGGGCAAAAACCTCCCCAGGAATTGTTTTGTGAGATGTGTTCTGGGTGTGAATGCAAGTTCCTGCTCATGCCTTCCTCTACCGGTGTCTGCCTGTGGAGGTTTACGTTGCCGTGACTCTGCACCGAGCTGCCTTCTCCATCCTTACATTCCACTGTCTGCCTCAACGAAGAGTGTGGTGATCTGCCCCACCCCAGCCCCACTAGATTCAGTCAACTGGAGGAAAAGGCTTTGTCCCCGATTCCACCTCTGGAGCTGGTCACATTCTCAGAATAATCTTATATTTCATGAGGTATCTTTCCTGCACTCTCAGATCACGTCGCTGGATTCTGACCATAGATGATTTCTCAGTGAGCCAGGTAGGTCCGTGAGTCAAAGACGCCAGTCAAGCAAAGCACAGATGGAACCTTCCCGGCGCACAGTCCCTTCCCAGGCAGCGCAGCATGCATGTGAAGGCAAGAGAAATCAGAGTTTCTGCCCCGACAGCTTCTAATGCTGACGGTAAAACCATGGATACCCAGAGAAACTGCGGTTTCCAACTCTAGGTTGCCTTTGGGTTTCCCAGACAGGACACCCCAAGTAAGCACCCAGGATTGATGTTAGCAGAATGATACCTGTAGAACCAATGTTAACAAAGGGCTGGTCACTGGCTCAAACCTTCACATCACCTTGCTGTTGGATAAGAGGCTAGTGTTCATGTTGGGCTGGCATTTTATTTGTAGTCAGAGGATAAAGTTATAGTCACACACACACGGAGGTACACAAAACTGGGAGAAAGAATGGGTTCTCCTGGGCTCTGCCATGCCCTCCCCGCCAGGAGTGCGTGCACGCTACTCAGTAGCCTGGTGTAGCTAGAAGAATTATCCTGCTCACCTGCTCCAGGCATCACGGACAGCTCTGCTCTCAGAACCCACACACCCGAGCAGAAGCACAGGCAGGCAGGCAGTACTGGTACCCGCCACAGCTAAGCCAACGTTCGTGACGAGCTCATTTTCAAGCTAACTCCTAGTTAAAGGATGTGCCTTAGAGCTTAGGTCACCCTTCTTGGGGTAAAGAGCTGCAAGGGAAAAGGCGGCCTCTGGTTCCTTGGACTGTTCGCTAGAGGAAGAGTCAGGGCCGGATTACCCTCCTTCCTAGGCCTCACTCACCACGCTCAGACCTGGGGTCCCAGATGCACCACCTACAAGCAGACCGTGTAACATCTCTCTTTTCTTATCCATGAAATGTAGATAAAAATAATGGCTAGCCTACCGCGTTGACAGGAGGATTAAATGAACCACACAGGTTACGACTATGTCATGCGAGTGTCACTTGGTATTATTAGGAATTTGGAGGCAGGCAGGAAGGGAAACAGCCACAGAACCCCAGCTCCCTCTACCCGCCCACCTGCCAAACCACACAGTTCTAAAGGCTGCCCCAGCCCAAGGGGACTTGGGGCTACCCTCCTTAGCAAGGACCACAATGTCCTAATTTTTGTTTGGTTTGCTAAGACCCAGGAACTGGGAATTCCAGAGGTGAACAGAGCATTACATGGTTTTAATTATGTTCCTCTTTTGATAGATGAGACAATCAGAACTGCGGACTCAACAAGGAAACAGAATGGAAAAACAGTGACTGAAATCGACGATTCCTATTGAATTAGCAATGATCAGAATCAAACATTTAAGATAATGTCAGTTAAGACACATTTTCTTCGGCATCATTACCATCGGGTTAGAGTCTTTCTTGTGAGAGCAGCCAGAGGCGTCCTCGGCTTCTTGCGACGAGGGGAACTTGCAACAGGATTCTGGACCAAGAGGGTTCTGAAAAGTTGCTTCCTCGGGATTGTTACTTATAATTGTACCACCTGCTTCCTTTATTTCCACCTAAAAAAAAAAGCAATTGTTATTTTAGAAACCACACTGTGGACACCGGTTTTCATGGTTGCATACTGTTTGTAAAGGAAAGAGCCCCCGTAGCTTTACTTCTCTCCCCGTCATTCTCCCTATGTGGGGGCAACGAGGAGGAGTGATAAGTTATCTGATCAGCCTCACAGGGGAGGAAGGACTCTGAGGACCAAACCCATCTGCCCACGAAATATGCAGGTGAACTTTCTACGCGGTGCTCATGCTGCTTCCAGCACACGGCATGAGGAACTGAGGAGATGCCCAAGCTGGCCGTGTGCCCCTCAAGGGGCCCAACAGTGCCCCCTTCTCTAGGACCTGGCAGACTCGAGGGATCTTCCTTAACCTGGCCTCCAAGCTGGCCCTTTCTCACCGTTCTTAGTGTGCTCATTAAGTTGTATGAAATGCTCCAGTTGATTTGTTTTCTTCTCAAGAAGCCTCCAATCCTTGCCGACATATCAGATTTAATATTGATTGTGTATTTACAGCAGAGCTCACAATTACATAGCAGCGGTGTCCTGACTGGACGGCAGGACTGTAACAAATGCTAAGGGCCTGGGGAACGGCCAGCTTTGTCTCTAAGCCATCTTCTGCAACAGCTGCCAGCTCACCGACACGCGGCAAGGTCACCAGCAAGACGGCAAAATGCCAGTGATACTGCTGAAAACTGGTGAAATTTAAAAACTAAAGACTCAATGGTTAAAAAAAATACCATCAGATTTGAGGGTTCCAAAATTGTGAGGATTCTTTCTACATTTGCTAAGAATGCAAGGAGGATTGGGATGGCATCGGCCAACCCCTCCTGAACCTCCACTAGCCCTAGAGTGCCCATTGCAGAGTGCAGGGGAGCTCCCCAGAGGCCAAGAGGCAGGTCCTTCCAAGAAGACGGTGATTCTAGGGTAACATTCTGAAGACCTCATTTAAAAATCACAGCATGGGGGCGCCTGGGTGGCTCAGTGGGTTAAGCCTCTGCCTTCAGCTCTGGTCATGATCTCTGGGTCCTGGGATCAAGCCCTGTGTTGGGCTTTCTGCGTGGCAGGGAGCCTGCTTCCTCCTCTCTCTCTCCCTGCCTGCCTCTCTGTCTACTTGTGATCTCTGTCAAATAAATAAATAAAATCTTCAAAAAATAATAAAAACAATAAAATCACAGCACAGATCATGATCTTTCTAGGTGTGGCTGTGGACGCAAACTTGGAGATGTCCAACAAATAGTGAAATCAGCGACCCGCACAGACAATAATTACTGGCAGTTTCCTTATTAGCACAGCAGACTGGCATGAAGGTATAAATCTTTAAAAAGAAGGTTTAGCTGTATTTCAAGTTATGGCTTTATTTCGATAATTCACATTTTTTAGAAGGAGAAAATTTTTTATTTTCTTCTGATTTCTGCTTTAAGGAACTTGCCAGGCAGGTGCCCTCAGAGTTCGGATTGAATTTCCCACCCTATAATTAACACGTACTTGCACAGCAAATGTATCAGCTCCTCTGCTGCAGGCAACTATGATCTGAACTACTTACACTCAGTGCAGTCCCATTTATACAGAAGAGATATGAACAAAGGTCAATGTGGGAATGAATTTCTAGAAAAAGGAAATGAGCAATTCATCCTCAATATTTACTTTAAAATAATCCCATTCTGTTTAAACGATAAACATGTCCATGCTGTATCTTTTTAATTTTACTAGTTAACTAGGAAATAGGCAATAACATTTTCTAAAAGCAAAGAAATATCATCCAAATAGCTTCTCCTTTATTTTGTCCAACCTACATTTTGTTAAAATTGGATTATGTTAGTAGAGAATGTGGGGCGCCGGGCTGGCTCAGTCGGTTAAACCGCTGCCTTTAGCTCAGGTCATGATCCCGGAGTCCTGGGATCGAGCCCCGCATCAGGCTCCCAGCTCCACAGGGAGTCTGCTCCTCCCTCTAACCTCCTACCTTCTCATGTTCTTACTTGCTCTCTCAAATAAACAAATAAAATCTTTAAAAAAAGAGAGAGAGAATGTTATGATTTTGAGATGAGCCAGTTCTGTTCCTGTTCTGGTGAATTCTCACTGAGTCCACTTTGTAAAGCATTTGTCCTAGACGCCCAACAGGAACCCCAGTCTGGCCCGGAAGCCAAATGGAGTGGCTGACACTGCAAGCCATCCGAGGAAGAGTCAAGGAAGACCTCTACTGTGGGTGATGGCTGGTAGGACCAGGTGAGCTCTAGGGCTCCCGTGTGTAAGCTGAGAGGGTGGTGGAGGCCCAGCCTCTCCTCCCCATCTTTCCTTTACACTAAGGAGCAGCAGCTGCACCGAAGGGAAACCAGAAAGGCAGAAATCCAAGCTCTGGAGCTATGACTTCTGATACACGAAGTTAGGCCACCCTCATCCCAACACCATCTCCAAAGTGCTCCTCAGACGCTTAACAACTTACTACAGTGATTTAAGGGCTGAGTACTCTAGCTTTTCAAACTTGATCCTCTTAGGGGGCCAGTACCCATTTCCTCGGGATCCCGTTTCCCTTAAAAATTGATTTGTTTCCTTCCGGCAAGAACAAAGCAGAAAAATCACCAGTGGCGACAGCAGAAGAGGGCCGTTAGCCCAGAATCAGCAGGAATTTATGTAGACTGATTTACGTTACTTATGCTTGAGGAACAGCCCTTACTAGCAGAGAGAAGCTCCCATGTCTTGATTTCATGACTACGTGAAAACAATCACACTGCATTTCCCAGGACATTAGCGACTCTAACATAAAGGTGGGGGGAGGGTCTCTCCTAAAGCCAGTGATAGCAACAGGGGAGGGCCACACACTTCCTTGCTGTTTCCCTCTTCTGCTGTCAGCCCCCCAGGACCTAATTCTCCTGCAGGGAGAATGGCCTGGCTTGGTCGGCAAGGGTGGGGGGCTTACAAAGGGAGGTGCTCAGTTGGAATGAGTGACTCCAACTCAGGAGGCTACTGACCCCGGGAAAAGGCTTGTGAGGGAAATCTTGGCCCGGGCCAGCGGTCTCACTTCTCTGTTCCGGACCGGGTGACCGAGGTCCGGCGCCTGTCTCCCACATGGATCTTACTGGAATCACCCGGACCCCCGGGTGGGCACCTCCTTCCCTGGCCCAGGCGCCCAGGGGCACGACAGCAGGACTCCGGTGCGGGGCCAGCAGGGAGGACAGGAAGTGCACGTTGTAGGCCTGCGGCTGCGGGGCCACCACCGGCAGCGCGGCGTCCTCCAGCGGGCTGAGCTCGGGGAGACTCGGGTACTCCGGGAGCATCTCCTCGTCGTCGCTGCCGTCCACCGCGAGTTCCACTTTCACTTGGCTGTCACAGTCCACGTGAAGCGGGGGGTTGAACGCGTGCAGGAGGGGCTCCTTGGGGTCCGCGGAGCTCAGATACGCGTCTTTAAACACGTGGAACTCGTCCTCCTCGTGCTTCACCGCCACCGGGGTTTTCAGGGTAAGGTTCTCCGAAACGAACGGACTCTCTGCACTGAAAAGGTCGGTCACGATCTCCTCCTCGGGACCGGACATCCCTCCGAGCAGAGGGGCCTCTTCCATGTCCACTGAGGGGGCCTCGGGCCGGGCATCGCCACGCACCCCTCGCCACGCGGATTCCGGCCCAGAGCCGAGCACCTGCAAGGACGCGGCCGGTGAGGCGGGCACGGCCTCGCCCCGGCCCCGCCCCGGCCCCGCCCCGGCCCCGCCCCGGCCCCGCCCCGGCCCCGCCCCGGCCCCGGCCCCGCCCCGCGCTCCACGGGGGCTCCCCCCCCCGCCCCCCGCGCCGGAGGAGGCTGGAGGCTGGCCGGGGGCGGGGGGAGGGGGTCCCTCCACTCCTGAGGGCCTGACCCGAGCCGGGTTCCCTTCATTCCTGAGGGGCTGACCGGGGAGGGAGGGGGGGTCCCGCTGTCCCCGGGGGCCTGACCGGGGAGGGGGGTCCCTCCATTCCCAAGGGCGTGACGGGGCCAGGGTCCCTCCATTCCCGAGGGCCCGGCCGGGGGACCCGCTGTCCCCCTCCCCGCCTGCAGATCCCTAGGCCGCGCCGGGAGACCGCGGGCAGACCCCACGGCGGCGCGGGCTCAGACCTCCTCAGGGGCACACACCTTGGGCCTCCGGGGCTGCGGGAGCGATGAGGACCAGGGGGCGGAGCGAGCCGCCCCTCACGTGCCTGCGGCAGTTGGCGGTTAGGGGCGGAGCCCTCAAGGGCGGGGCAGCGGTGGGCGGGGCCGAGCTGGGGCGTGGCGGAGGCGGGGCTCGTGAAGAGCCAGGTGACCCCGGCCGGGTGGGGACGGGCTGCTGCGGGGAGAAGGGCCAGGAAAGACGCTCCCAGGGTCTTCAGCTCCAGCCTCACATGGGGAAACTGAGGCCCCCAGACCAGCCTGACTTCTTCAGATCAAAACCAGAATAATTTTTTTCTTCCATTGGCTCATAAACTCTATACCGGGATATATATATATATATATATATATATATATATATATTTTAAAGATTTTATTTATTTATTTGACAGAGATCTCAAGTAGGCGGAGAGGCAGGCAGAGAGGGGGAAGCAGGCTCCCTGCTGAGCAGAGAGCCCGATGCGGGGCTCGAACCCAGGACACTGGGATCATGACCTGAGCCGAAGGCAGAGGCTTTAACCCACTGAGCCACCCAGGGGCCCCTATACCGGAATATTTAAACATTACAGATAGAGCCAAAGTTCCTTTAAGAAACAGGCCATCCCCTGTCGTGCTGCCGGCCAAGGGGACACTGCAGTCACCTGTGTATCCTTCCAGCCCTCGCAGGGCCTCACCTACAGATGCGTGCATAGACGGCGTTTAAGCTTATGGCTGAAACAATCTCATCACGGTTGAAGTCATTTGAGTTCAGGGCAGGGCTGAGCGAGCAGTTTGGGCTTCCCAAAATGTAGGGATGGAGCAGGCAGCAGACACAAACTGAAGAGCCCTCATGAAAAACGTCTGACCAGCTTGAGCAGCCGGAGCAAGAACATCAACCGGCAAGACTCTTACCATTGCCACATTTTCAAGGGGCAGCTCCCATGCCATCGGATGCGCAGCCACCTGGGCGAGTCACAGCCTAGCCAGACTCAAAGGCTCAGGACCTCTGGGACACTCTGAAATGCTCTTCCAGCCGGGATCAGCCGAAGCCAGCTGTGTCATGACTCAGGCCTCCCCTCAAATCAGCTGCCTCTCGCAGCCAGCTACCTCTGCCCACATGTGATCCTCTCATCTCCCTTGGGACACTGGAGATCCTTGGAATGGCTGTCTTGGTTCTGTCATCCTCCCACCGGATTTGAGCTCCACCACAGCCAGAACCTCGTGGGGTCCCCGCTGTACCTAGCGGAGCTTAGCACACAGTAGGTGCTCAAGAAAGACTACCAAGAAAACTGAATTCACGCACCCACTTAGCAGATACTCGAGAACCTACTACGTGTCGGACACTGTTACGGGCGTGGGAGCAGGGAGAGAATGCATGAACACAGAGTGGAAACCCACAGCCCATCTTGGCAGCTGCCCTTCTCAGCCAGGTCAGTGAGTCTGGCTGAGGCCAGACTGGGCCTCCTGCAAGCTGCCTGCGGTCTCTCTCCAAAGGTCTCCAGCTCCTGGACTTCCACCCCTGACTTATAACCTCCTTATTCATATTACAAAAGAACCAGGAACAAAGGCTGGGATTAATGTTTTATTAATGATAACATTCATACCGCAGTTCTCAGATTTACATCCAAAAGAGCATCTGTATTTACATGCAATGGACAGTCCAAGATAACAAATTCAAACCACAGCTCCTTTAAGACTATGGTTTATTCCAAATTAAATTAAATACATAATACTCTTCCCTCCTCCTTTCAACACGTACAATAAAAACCACTCTTCCTTCTTTTAGGAAATATAAAATTGCATTGATAACTGCACTGGTTAGCAACAATTAATTACATTTGAAATATTTAAACCTGAGAGACGAGCCCAAATGTGTTTGAGTGCTACACGGCGACACTGGAATTCACATGGGAACGCTAAGGTCAGTGGTCAGTATTGCAGGGTTGGGGTGGCTCTGATGGCGACTGATGCCAGCTTTGACTGGAAGCCACGCCTGCCTACCCCAGGGGACAGAGTGGGCGATTCCCCCACACACCTCCTTCACTATGAACCATGGAGGAAGGGGGGTAGGGCTTGTTACTGTAGATGTTGGTTTTCATTTTAGCTTTTTTGTGTGTGTTTTCATTTTTGCTTTTAAGAGGAAAAAAAATCTTTGGCCCATTTAGGTGGGATTTTGACATTATCACATGTACATAAACAAAACACGCATACGCCCTGTAGCGAGCACCCGTCTCCTCTGACGGTCCGGCCTGGTCATGGTATCCCGGCAGTGCACGGCTCTTACAGAGGCGAGCCCCACCAGAACAAAGTGGTCAGAAAAATAAATACAGTTTTGAAAATGGACAGCTAAGCTGGTCGTTATGGCCGTGGAGGCCGTGGGGCTTTGCCGTTCCATGATCCTTTATTTTTTACATTAAATCCTGGAGACGACTCAGTGCATAATTGCTTTTTGGTCGATCGGATGCTTCCAGATGAAGGCACACCCACCTGAAGGGCAGGCTGTGTCAGACCTAGCACCTGCGACACTTTCATCCATCACTGAGATGATGCGGCCTACGGTCTCTATCGTCCTCCATCTTCTCTGGAAAGGACAGTGGTTCTATCTCTTGCCAGCTGGGACTGGAAAGCACTCCTGGGGCCTACTGGCCCTGCACTCTCCTGACCATTTTGAGGTTATTCTTCCTGTTTCTCAAGCTTTGTTCCTTTGTCAGTGGTAAATGTCACGCCCTGCCTTTGTTGTCAGCTTGGGTGAGCAGCTACCCGGAGGCCCAGCTCATGCTTTCTTCTCCAGACACATCACACTTGACCGTGACATCTCTTGCTTCCCATTTCTCTCTCTCTCTCTCTCTCTCTCTCGCACACACACACACACATACACACCCTTTCTTTCATTGCTTAATGATGCAAGGAAGGTCGTCTGATGTGGGGGCATCCAGCCCAGCTGCCCTCAGGAGGGAACTGGTCTTTCTAGGGGCAGGGAAACCACAGGAAACACTTATTTAGGGTTTCAGTTGAGAATGGAGTAAGACACAATTCCACCTGAAGACCGACCCGACCCAGGAAATCTTTCCCACGATCTCCCTCTTGCTCTGGGCCTTCCACTTTTAAGGCACTGGGTTTTGAAGACTTGCACAGTCAGTAAAAGTAGAGATGAGGCGGACGGCACGCTTCCAACACAGAGAGGCAAATACGGGCTACCAGATGACGGACGGTGACGGAGTGACCCACAGTGACAAGAACTGTTTCCAGAAGCACAGTGTTTCCGTTAGTGCGTTACACGCGTGTCAGCTACAAACGGTTAACATCTCCAAAACTTGAACGCATTCCTCTCTGAACAAAACGAGCTCGGGTAGTAGTAAACGCCCCTGAGTACCAGGTGTCCGGTCGCCCCCCTCCCCCCGAGGAAACGTGCCACTTGCGCTCCCAATGCGTGAAGTCACAACCCCACCAGTCCTTTCAATAGCTCAACCACAGTCTCGTCCCTCAGTCACCACAGGCAGATGCAAACACTTTTGGGGGCGGGGGTAGGGGGGCACTTGATGAAAAGATCCCCGAAGTTGGGACCTGCCAGGAAGTAGTGGAGTCAGACTTCACGTGGTGGAGACCTGCTGTTCTATAAGAAGGAAAACACCAAACCCTTGACGAAAGGAAAACTGAGTTTCGTGGGGGGCAATTCTGCATCCGGACCTACACTCGGGATCGGACAGCTACTCTTCATTTGGTTTTGGCGGATGAGCTCCTTCTGCTTCTCCGCGGCTCTAATGGAGTTACTTTTTGGAGTTGGCGCCGAACCCAAACAAACCGATGATGTCCATCATCGCCCGTCTCAGGTGCTTCCCAAAGCGATGCGAGTCCTTCCGCGCAAAGACAAAAGACAAAAACGCACATTACAACATCGAAATCCCTATGCTGGAGACTTGAACCTGACTCAGAGGACAAATGTTCCTTTTGGCTAGTTCTCTGAGCTTTGGGTGAGCGCCTGAATCATGAAGTGACACGTTCCGGAGAAACGCTGCGGGTTCAAAGAGGTGGAACCATTTCTAAGTTTGCGCGGATGTGGTCTTGATATAAGGCTTCCCCTAATGTCAACACGTTACGCAAAGCGCGATAAATAAATGAATTCCAATCCTCTCTGCTAACGGCGAACTTGGCCGTGCTTTCAGGTGATCCGCAATGTGGAAAGGCAGAAAAAAAACCAGGATTCAAGTGTGCCACGCTTGGAAGGAGGTCACACGTTCCACTCCCACAGAACACCACAGACCCTGCATCATCTTATTATTTTTTAAAGATTTCATTTATTTATTTGAGAGAGAGAGAGAGCAAGTGAGAGCGAGCTCAAGCAGGGGGATGGACAGAGGAGAAGCAGGTTCTGCACGGAGCAGGGAGCCCGGTGTGGGACCCGATCCCGGGACCCCATGGTCATGACCTGAGCCGAAGGCAGCCGCTTTACCAACTGAGCCACCCAGGCGCCCCCCCCATCATCTTGTACTCGTCCTCCTTCACACGTGCACGCTGACCTCCATCTACCCTCTGATATCAGGGTCTGAGAGTCGCGCGGGCCACACGGGCACTCCCACGTTAGGGTTTAAAGCCAGCCCTATAGGCAAAGACAAATATTTGCCACCAAAGAAGATCATTTCTTTAGAATTACTTTAAAGAGGGGAGCCTGGGTGTCTCGGCGGGTAAGTGTCAGCCTTCAGCTCAGGTCATGATCTCAGGGTCCTGGGATCCAGCCCCGTGTCCAGCTCTCCGCTCAGTGGGGAGCCTGCTTCTCCCCTCTCCCGCTGTCCCTCCACAGCCTCCACTCATGCATGCACACGGCCTCACTCGCTCGCTCTCAAATAAAATCTCAAAAAATAATAACAATAAAATAAAATTAGGTAAAAGAGTTTAAAAATTCTTTTATCTCAAAATGTCCAAACCGAGTAAAAAAGCATGTCGTTAAACTGCTACTTCCTGTCAAATTAAGGAAGAACATGTCTGTCAAGTTAAAAAGAAAATGGCAAAAATATGCCTTTAGGAAAGGCAACTTGGTTTTGTACTTACGGTCTCGGGGCTGGAGAACTTGGAAGATACGTGGAAACTGATGAGGTTCTCTCCCACGAGGATGTAGGACACGCCATAACCATCGTCAGCGACCTACAGAACCAGGTAAGCTGACGTTTAACCTCGGGGAAGGAGACGATGAGGAAACGGGACTGTCTCACATTCCACATACAAGACAGCATAAGCCCCTGCACTAATCATCTGCAGAATTCCTGGTGGGGCGGGGAGGGACCCACAAGGTACCAAGGAGTGCTCAGGGTCCAGGAAGACCCCAAGCTGAGGCGGGCAGGCACGGCCGGTCCCCGGGCATGCAGCTCCGTGCCCACCTACCCTCGGGCACTTACCGGCCCGAAGCCCCCTCCGCTGGACACGTACTCCGGGTTCCTCTCCAAATCAAACAGCTCCACCTGCTGCTGCGGAGTCTGGCTGGTCGATAACCTCCACGGCTCAGATAAGACCTGCAGCGTCAAACAAGGACATTCTCTAATGACACCTTTCCCAGCGCCGTCCTCCTCTGTCCCTGCACAGCAGCCCCAGCGGGAGACAGAGAAAGGCTCGCTGGGACCCCGGGTGGTCTCAGACGCAGGAGGTCTGCGTCCCGGAAGGCCTCTTGCTGGCTCAGGCCAGTCCATGTGCAGAGAGGGCGTCTGGACCGGGGGGCCGACACCCCCCCCAAAAAAGGGGGCGGACACACGAACTAAGACTTGGGAAGGGGGCCGTGCTGGGCTGAAGCTAATTTTCAGGAATTTTTTCAAGCTGCTTGTTCAACACAGCATTATTACAAGTTAAATTTCACACCTTTAAAAGTAAATAAACTGTATTAAAAACAAGACTAATAAATACTCGCTCCTCATGTCCTAGTTACCTGTGTGCACCTTACTATGGTCCGAGCTTGAGGTCACTTACATCAAGGAGGCCGGGAGGGTACGTGTGACGCACAGCGTTCCCCAGGGGCTGAAGGGACACGGCACTAAGGTCACAACTTGGACGGGACACTGTGATGACAGCGGAGCCCCAGGACCCATTTGGGGGAGGCCACTTCCCACTGGCGAGGCAGCCCTGACTTTGTCCCGGCTTAGCCAGCAAGCTGGGAGAGCTGCCACCGGCTGTGGCAACTGACCTCCTTCAGGAAAGGGGACTCCACGGCCAGGTATTTGGACACCACGTAAAGACAGAAGAGGTGGCGGTCGATCCCGGAGCCAGTCATCGCCAGGCGGTACATATGCTGGTGCTTCTCAGAGGCGATCTTGAACAATTTGAGCCTCTGCTCAACCTGAGTAAAGGGGCGGGACAGTCACGCCGCGCGGGACGGACCCCACAGGCTCCAAGACGCACGTGAGGGGCCCTTCTCCGCAGGGGCCCGATGGCACCATTAAAGCAGGCAGGAGGGACGTGCCAGAGCAGAAGCCCCCCTCCCCAGATTCATGCTGCTGATGGGGCCACCTGAGGGAAAGCCGGAGCCCCGAGCCTGTGCGGGGACCTTGGGTATGGGCAGCGGGCTCCGCTGACCCCAGGTAGAAGGTTCTATGGCATGGTTCCAGGCTTCTCACCCACACCCCAGCTCCTTGGATTGTCCCACTGCACCAACTCCCCTGCCTCCCCGTGCTCCGTGAGGTTCTAGACTCCTAGGGAGTCCATGCGGATTAACGCTAACCTCTCTGCGCGTGTCCTGACCACGTTCAGCTCCCCTGAAAGGCAGCGGGGAGAGAAGCTGAATACGACACCCCCAGAGAAGGCGTGTGCGGGGTCTCGGCGGCCTGGCGCCACCTTACCGTCTGGGTGGGGTCCACCATGGCGAGCACGAAGTCGCATGACTCCATGGTACAGGAACGCACGGTCTCTGTCCTCCCCTCTCGGAAGAGCCGGGTCATGGAGGCCTCGTACGTGAGGCAGAATTTGCCCATGTCCTGGGAGAGGAAAAGTACTTTAATGCAAGGCAGGGCCCGCTGATGGACTCTAACGCACAAGAAGGGATGGGTTACAGTCAGCTTTAGCTTTTAGTCATTATCAGTCTTCACACGGGGTTGTGCAGCAGGCAGATGGAGACGTCATTAGCTTTGGAAAGGCCCGGGGGTGGGGGGGGGGTCAGTTTCTGGGTAGCCCAGGGTCCATTTCCAGATGCAACAGATGCCACGGCACAATTTCCTGAGCTTCACACACCTATCCGAGTGCAGACACACTTATGGAAGGAAGACATGGCAAGGAGATGGCCATGCAACAGTTGGAAATTATTAAAAGACACAAGGTGTTGGCAGGAAATGTTCCACCATGTTTAGATGACAATGAGGATGACCCGGGAGAGAAGAGACAGGTCAGGAGCAGTGTCCCCCCAGCAGGAGAGCAGGTGGCCAGCTGCCCCAATGGACAGGAAGGGAAATGAAACAGAAGGGGTAGCCGTGGGGGGGAGCGGTCAGGAGGTCTCTTTGGAATGCTCTCACATTCCTGCTGAACCAAGAAGGCGGCTCGGCCTGCTGAGGCTGGAGAAGCAGCGAGGGCCTGGGAGCTGGAGAGAAGGTGTGAGGAACAGGCGTGGAGGGGCACAGAGAGGGCTGCCCAGGGGGCTGGCAGAGCCAGAGCTCGGTATTTTTAAGTGGAGAAATCAGTCTGAATCCAGCCACACCAGCCTCTTGGGTGCGGGGCAGAGCAGTCCATGCCCAGTGAGGGGTGGGGAGCCAGATAGGCAGAGGCCCCGTAGGGTCTAGGGACTATAAGGGGGACAGGAGGACAGAAGAGGCAGCACCTGAAGCTGAGACCCTGCAGGTGACGGGAGGACAGGTCAGCGGGGGCTCCAGGGAGAAGCAACAGGAGGAGCAGGACAGGGTCCGAGAAGCACACGGCGTCCCGTGCATGCACTGTGGGAGGGAAACCCCTGCAGACGCCCCTGGCGGCCGGGCCCGCCCCGAGACGCCAGGTTTCCCGTCTGGACGGGAAAGTGACCACGGCAGTCTGTGGACCCAAGTCGTTCCTGCGGACAACGCCTCTCGGCGTCCGGGCCCCACTGACCCCAAGGAGACAGAGGACACCCTGCCACCAGCGGACACCGTGAAGCAAAACCCAGTGCCAGAGTCAAGGCTGAAGTCCCTGGCGAGCGGGCCATGCCTGTGAGTGGCCTTCGGGGCTCTGTCCCTCCCCCAGTCCTGCCTGTAAAGTGACGAGGCCAGCAGGCCACGGGGTGAGGAACACAGGCCAGGAGGTCTGCGACCAGCTGCCGCTCATTGCCGTCCACCTGCGGTGCCCCCCGCGGGAGCCTCCGCGCTGCCCCTGACACCTGGCGCAGGAGCCGCTGACTCACCGCACTTCTTCCACACACCAGTCATTACCTTTGCCTGGAGTGGGCTCCAAGAGGGGCTCTACCTCCTCATTCTACTCTAAGCGGAGTAAGAATAAGAACAGAGCAGGTAAGCAAGGGCCCAGGTCGGTCATCAAATATGCCTGGGAGGATTCACAGGGGCACATGACAAGGCGGGAGGGAGGGGAGAGGAGGAGCTATAGGAAAAAGTAGGAATCTGGCATTTAGGCATTCCATGAACGTTAGCTTAGGATCTCGGATGCACTGGTTTATGCGAGGTCCACTCTCCAACACCAAACTTTAACTGTGTCAGCAGTCAGCATGGTCATGCAGGATACCCACGGTTTTGTAAACGATCGTCTGGAAACCTCGGCAAATGCACTGCATGTTAGTGTGCTCGGGCCCCCCGAGAGCCAAGCAGCCCCACTCCACCTGCTGCAACCAGCCGCCATCCGGAGATCACCTCCAGTTTCTAACGAGCTGGATCAAAAAGACATGGTCGGTGGGAATGCGGACATGCATGGTGTGAGAACACAAACCTGTCACACCCTGGGATGGCTGCCCCGGGGCTCAGGGTTCAGGCTGGTGGCACCTGGGGGAATTTTTCACTTCTAGTTTCTAAATGAAAAACAAACATGACCCAAAAGCAGGAAGCGAATGGCTGTGGACTAAAATTAAGACCTCTGCCAAGTGTCTTCACTCAATCGGTCGTGACTTATTTACCGATGTCTATCTACTCCTCCGTGGCTAGCGCATTCCTGGCACTGGGGACTGATCATGTTTCTGCCCTCAAGGGGCAAAGGTTCTAACAGAAGAAGTGGGGATACAGGATATTACACAGTGACGGGGCATCAAACAGGAACAAGGCAGGGTGACAGAAGAGCGAGGGGGCAGAAGCCATTTTAAACAGGAGATGGGGTACTTGAGCAGAGACCTAACCAACCACACCTCAATCTGGGACACAGCAACCACTGAAGGAGAGCAAGTGCAAAGGCCCTGAGGTATCAAAGAGCTGGACATATCTGAGCACAGCGTAAAGGCCAGTGCGGCAAAAGCTGAGTGAATGAGACCAGGTGTGTTATGACAGGAGGTTGGAAGAGCAGACAGGGTTCAGACCAATGGTCACTAACCTTTGAAACATGTTAACTCGGAAGGGAAAAATAGATACATTTTAATTTCTACTAACCTCAAACTGAAATACAGCAAGTAGAAGCACAGCCAACAAACCACAGTAATTATCAACAGAGTGGTGACTTTGGAGAGAAAATCATAGCTATTTGCACAACAAATTATGTTTGCTGCAGATGTCCCAAAATACCATCTATGCTTATCACGACTTCAAAATTACAGTAGTCATTAGCTCTGCCACCCCAAATTTAGCGCATAATTACACTTACTGTGCTATAAATTTACATTTAATATTCTGATGTGCATTTTTATTAACTGATTATCTCCGTAACCCTATGTAGTTCCTTTCATGCTTTATACACATTATGCTGAGATGGGATCCCCAAGGCTTTCCCAAACTTCCTGCAAGGTCCAGGGCACAGCGAAGGGTTAGAAGCCTGGAACGGAGACCCCCCCCCCCCCAAGACACACAGGACATCTGCATTTACACAGAGCCAAGGGAAGGCTCTGCAGCTCCAAGCTGGGCCAGGAAGGGTCAGAACCACAGCTCCACAGAGTCGTGTCCCTAACACGGCTGGTCTTCAACGGGGCCTGCACTTAAGAACTTCTGCATGGAAAGATCTGCCTTATATTTTTCATGGGTCGTACGTGGCACCTGCTCAGTCCACTCGAAATGCCCACGGACCATTCGTCTGACTGAATGCTAAGCAAACGTCCTCTGTGAACGCTCAAATGACATGTGATATACAGACGTACAAGACAGCATTCTTCTGTTTTTTGTTTTTTTCAATTATTAACAATACAACACCATTCTTAGCTCAGCTTAGCTCAAGGGCCACATGAAAACAGGTGAAGGGCGGGAAGTGGGCCGTGGGCCCGAGTTTGCAGATCACCATAGTAAAGAAATAAAACTTTCACATGGTGCCAATGGTCAAGTGTGTTCACAGAACACACCACAGACACATTTAACGGACACACAACCGTCCGCTGTACAAAAACACGATAATCTAACATTTCACACTGATAACCCTTTCGACAGATTCAAACTTTTACCGAGGGGCCTGGTGCAGCTCATCTCTGCGAACCGGACCTTAGAGAGTACAGTTCTCGAGGAAGAATTTGCCAGGTTAGGGTCATGCACATTTCCCGCTGGAAGAGCCTCGCTGCCGCACGCGCTCTTCCCTCTCTAAACTGCCCCTGTACAAGCACGGACTTGAAAGGCCTTTGCAAATCGCAGAGGCAAACATGCAGTCTTACTTACGCTGCATTTACGGGCTTCCTAGCAAGACTAAATTTACGTACATTCCCCAACAATTTGTAGTTTTCTGCTCTCGTGAACCACTACCCCCTGCTGACTCCATCTGCCTACTAGGCTGTTTATTTGCTTCCCAAAAGGAACCCCTTGGCCCATTTTTCCAAGCCCATTCACTCACCAACCCATACCCTCCCAGCGATGTTAAATCCTGCCTCTATCCCAGAGAAGTGGCCAGGACTGCACCTTGCTCATTACTAAACTCTTCTAATTTCTACATTTTAGGCTTTGAAAGAAACAGTGTCCACCTCATTACTTATTTTTCAGAACGTTACTGGTTATTCTTAGACATCACATCTTCTAAATGAACTTGAAAATCAATCACTCGAGCTCCCTTTGGAAAATCACCTCCAGACCTCGGACGGTGTCGACACTGGACGTGTGAACTGGGCACACTCGCCTCTGCGGGGTCGAGATTTTCCAGCCAAAAGCACAGCCTTGTCTTCCTTTTGGAGACTGTCTCTGCCTTCCTCCCCAAAAGTCCCAGCTGCTTTACCAACGTGTGCCTGGACCCCAGACTCCTGTCCCTGGTTCCCATTCCCCCGGCCTGTTGTACTTTCTACTTGGCCAAGTGCTGGACAAGGAAGATACTGTCTTCATAGAATTCTGCACCGGGCTCCTTCCTGCGCACACTCCTTCATCACAAAAGCTTCTCTGCCGCCTCCATTCCCATCAGAAGATGTACTGATCCCCCTCCTGCCCAGTCATCCCATCAGCTGTGCTCACTGTACTTATGGAAAGGCCTTTGAGGATGCTGGACATGCTAGAGTGGAGCCTCATCCTTTCCTTAATGGGGCTACTCACCCAATCACCCTTCAAGCCACACGTTGGCTACTGATCCGCGACGCTACTTATCACAATAGGGAAACAGCTCCCCTTACTTAGAGCCGTTATCGGGAATGCACGCCAAGTTTTTAATGTCTTTCTAGCATTTGTCGAGAGGACTGTCCTTTTTCTTCTCTGATCCAAATAATAATTTAATCTGTCTCTGGGTTTATTAATACCAAACCATGCCCCTGGCCACTGGCCCCATAAGCTGCTGCTTTTACACATTTCCTGCACTGCTGGATTCTTGTTGCTAATATCTTATTTAGGTTTTCTGCACGTTCGTTCATGAGCAAAACTGGTCTACAGCTCTTTCTCGCCATCCCTCCAATTAAGACACGAGCTCCAGAACCAGCCTGCCCGGATCCAAGTTCAGCCATGCCACTGCGAGCGGCGGGTCTCAGGCAAGGGAGTTCTCCTGCTCGTGCGAGAGGCAGAGATCAGCAAGGCCTTCCCCAGCAGCTCTAAGGACTAACGAGCCCCCGCGAGGCACTCCGCACCTGCTGGGCAGCTCCATCCAGCTCCGGATCATGCCCAGGGTACCCTCGTCCTAACAACGAAGCTGCTTCTGAGCAGGATCCCGCTACCGGGCAGGCCTCCGACTTTGGACTTTCATCATGGGGACTGACCTCCTCCTGGTTTTTTACCCTGTCTCGGGTCAGCTTCACTAACTTCTGTCGCTGCAGAAAATCATTTCGAGATGTGCAAGTGTATTACCATGGAGCCTGGCGTCCCCTTATGAAACTCTGTGTCTGAGGCAGCGCCTCCTTTTATCGCCCGAACGCGGTGCATCCCCGTGCTCAGTAGTCTTTAAGGTCAAGCTTGCTAATTCCAAGATTCAGCTCCTCTATCTGGCTACTGGGTCTGTAAGTCCCTTGCTCCTTCAGACAAAGCGCTCCTTCGACGACGGCCCTTTCTGCCCCATGGCTCTGCGAGCACACACTTAAGTGAGTGTGTTCCTCAGGGCAAGGAAGTTTCGTGACTTGATCATCTTTGTGAACAACTACCGTAGAGTCAGCTGGAACTCGGTCTCTGGCCTAACTTCTCCCGGTCTCTCTGATTTCGATGTTACCTCTTCCGCTGTCCTGCATCTGCGTCTTTTCTAGACCTGCCCCACACCCACCAAGAGGGGTTCTGCTCACCGCATCCCACCCCGCCTGCGGCTGGCCCCCGGGACAGGCGTCCGGCCTTCCCCAGCCCCGGGGCACGCGGCTCCTGGCAGGTGCTCAGACCGAGTGCTCGCCACAGAGCCCCGGCTCGTACCTTGTAATGAGCCAGCTGGAGCGCAAGCTGGACGAAGGCATCCGGGCTGGTCTGGCATTTCTTGATCAGCCCTTTACCAAAGGTGTGGAATGGGAATGAGTGGAAATCCACGTCATTTGCCAGAATGCTGGCGCTGTTCAGGGAAGTCTCTATCACCTCTTGACACTAGAGGAAAAAGGAGAAAGAGATGTGAGCCCAGGCTGCTGACATTCCTCGCAGAGATGAGATGTTCGTGCAGCCAACAGAGCTGTTGCTTGAACGGACACACGTCGCATCTTCTTCCCGGTCCTCCCCGGAAGCGTCATCCCGGAGCCGCAGTCCGGGAACGACAGGCCCCCCACCGCTCGCCCAGGAGTGCCGGGGGAACCCGAGCAGGAGGAACGCCTGTGGGGGACTGTGTCTGCGCACGACCCCACAGGGCATTCCGCACAGTCCAGAGTTTAGTTTTGTGAAATCCACTGTGGCAACCCAGCTCCCAATTTTAAAAAAACGAATGGGACACGGTACGACCACGCCATGGAGATGAGCTCCCAAGCCACGGAAGGACGCGGGAGGAGCCCTAAATGCACGAGACTAAGGCAAAGAAGCCGGTCTGCAGAGGCCGAGTTCCAGGATTCCACGAACGGGACACTGTGGACGAGGCCAACTAGGGCGACTGTGACAAGACCTCTGGGTGCCAGGGGCATGGGGGCGGGGGACAGGGAGGAACCGGCAACGCCCACATCTGGGGCCATGAAACTGCTCAGCGTGAGGCTGTGCGCGGACACTGGTCGTCGTACATCCGCGCAAAGGCCAAGAATGCACTAGGCCAACACTGACCCCGTGTCAGGGATGGGCGCATGTGTGCTAGGTCGGGGGAGGTGGGCAGGAGGGATTTCTCTGGACTTCTTGATCCATTGTGCTGGGAAAACTAAAACTGCTTGAGAAAGTTAAACCTACAGAAACATTTTAAATACCCGGGGACCGACTTGGTCAGGTACAAGGACCCCAAGCCCATGCACCTTGGCAGTGGGGACACTGCTCTGAGGAGCTCACGCCGGCCCCTGGGGACGCAGGACGGAAGGCCCGGCTGAGACGGCAGCCCCACGTGTGGCATTTTCTACTTCGAGAAGTGCTTCTTGGGCCCCAGGAATGCCTGCTTGGATTGGATGGGCAGAAATGTGGTATTTCCGCCCCTATACTTCCTTCCCCAAAATGCTTCCTTTTATCGAGTGGCCTCTGTATGAAAATCTTTGAGAGAAACAGAAATAGTAAGTTAGTGATCTCACAGTATTTCTACCCCAAAGGAAGTGACTTTGGTTTTTCCTTGTTCACTGTGCTATCCAGCCAAATGTGAGCTGGAAATCTCGCCGACAATCTTTGCCAGAACGTGAAACAGAACCACTTCCTGGGGCCGGAGGCAGTAGGAGCTGTGGCAAGCAGCCCTACGGCCCGTGTGTGGACCCAAGTCTGTGTCTGTGGCCTCCAGCTGAGCTGGTGCCCACTCAGCAAGGACGCGGCGGGGGGGGGGTGCTGGGCTGTGACCGTTTCCGTTCATCTCCGCCCCAGGTCATTGGGACTCACTTCCTCCGGGATGTCCCACTGCAGCCGGGTGGGGTATGGAATGTTCGGGTTGGTGTCGCCCTTGCAGTGCCCATCCTCTGCGTAGCCCAGCTGAAAGCAGTCCGTGGCCAGGACATACTGTCGCAAATGAAGATACATGCGTTGGTCAGGGAAGAGGAGTACGGTGAACCCTGTTACCTAGAGCATCTTGGAGACAACCCCCAGGGGAGACAGACCCTCGTTCTTCACAGAGATGTAATGAAGACAGCAGGAGTGCCTCCCGGGGTGTGCCAGCAGGATGCCCGTTTGCACCTGACCCCCTCCACGCAGCCACCCAACAGGAAAGTTATTTCCATTCCAGAGGGGAGAGAAATGGACGTGCGGAGGCTCTCCGGCTTGTGGGCTGGCAAGCAGCTCAGCCAGGACTCCAGCACATGCAGAGCCCGCTTCCAGGGCCCAGGTGCCCGCTGGGGGCGACCCCTCCCATCCCCCAAATCTTTACGGAAAGCCCGGAAGGCAGGCCCCATTATTCCCAACTGCGTAAAAATGAGGAGGCCGAGCCACACTGGGAGGAAGCCGTGTGCCCCAGTCCACACTCGCCATGAGCCAGGCTCCGGGCACAGCTGGGGCCTTCTCTTGCCCCTGGTGAGGACACCCACACTGATGAACTCAGTTGTATTTACTGAGCAGCTACTATGAGCCAGCAACTCTCTAAGCACCAGTGAGAGAATGGGAAACAAAACAGACCAGAATTTCTGCTTTTCCTCAGGACCTTAAACCTGGCCATCTGACCTCCCCAGTCTCCCCCAGGGTGCACACACGACAAATGAAAACAGGCATTCGCCTAAGACGTGTGCACGAACGTTTCCCAGGGGCAGTGCTTACAGTCGCTGGAGTGTGGACACAACCCATGCAACAGCCAGAACAGACAGTCCGAGACAGAAAGTAGATCTGTGGTTGCCTGGCGGGGGCAGGGAGAGGAGCAGGAGTTCCCTTTGTGGGGAAACATCCTAAAAGTAGATGGCGGTGTTGGTGGTATGACCACCTGGTAAATACCCAAAACCCAGCGAATTGTGTACTTTAAGAAGATGAATTTGATGGTATGTCAATTTTGTCTCCACAAATAATAATAAAAAGATTTTCTAAAAAAAGGAATCCCTGCACTCGGGGAGCTTACATCCTAGTGGGGGAGGCAAACACACACACACACACACAACAAAACCCGACCCCAAGTCTGGCTGGGGGCACTGCCGGGTGTGAGGGGTCGGGGCTCCAGCACGGGGGCGGTGTGGTCGGCGTCCACGCAGATCCGAGCAAGCGAAGGGGCCAGCCTACTTGTGTCTGAGCCGCTCCACATCAGAGACCCCAGAGAGCCCAACACATGGAAGTTTTAGAAATATGTGGGCGGCAAGCAGGATCCATTTCTGACCAGATCTGCTCTTGACCGCCTCGCCACGGGCAGACCGGCTCCCGGGCCTCTGGGACAAGAGAGTGTGTGGGTTCCCATCCCTGCAGGGAGCTCCTGGGGTCCACGTCCGGTCCCTGGAGCCCCAGGCCATTCCGTCTGCTGGCAGGAACCCGAGTGACCGCCTTGGGCTGTCCATGCAATCTCTTTACCCTTCTCTCCTCCAAGAGCACTTAAAATAGAAGACGGCCTTGTCAACACGCAGATTTCTCCACCTGGCTACGTCACCCTGTGCCATCCAGAATGCCCGTGGCTCGAGTGCTGTCTCCTTCACGGAGACCAGCTGTCATGCACTCACTACTCAGGGCGTCCTGGGAACAGGTGCCGCAGGTCTGGACGAGTCCGCTGTGTCGACAGACCCCTCCGGAGTCCGGCTGCTCCGTCCAGGGGCCGGAGATGGCTGAGTCGTCGTGCGGTTTCAGTTGAAAGGATGGCTAAGCTTTTGTTGGCATCAGCAGACGGGTGGCGGCGAAGACCCTTCTGAGACGTGACTGCTTTTATCATATTCAAGTCTTGGGACCAGACCGCTATCTGAAAGACTGTTCAGTAACACTGTTTTCCCTTTATGCTCTTTCCCACGCAGAGAACCTCATTTGGCTGAAGGAAGAGTGGGTTAGGTTTTGCCCAGACCCAGCCAGGGGTAAGACAGTCGGGAGAAGTCTTAGAGGGGGCATCTGGGGCTCCCAACCCAGGACCGGGAGAAGGCAGAGGGGCCTGGGGGCAGTGCGGTGAAGCGGAGGCCTGCCGGGGCCAGTGGCCAGGGAAAGAGTGTTCTGGGCAGAGGAGGGAGCGCGTGCATAGGCCTTGCAAGAGACAGCAGGACATGGCCTAGCATTTATAACTCTAGGGAAAATATGGACAGATAAAATATTTTAAAAATAAAGATTGAGATTCAAAGTCTTCAGAGAAATTAAAAAAAAGAAAAAAGAATTAAAAAAAAGAAAAGAATGCGGTCATGCATTAAGATATCTTCACAAGTTCATGACAATTTCATCATGTCCAGTCCTCGAGTGAGCGCCACGGCCCGTGAAGGACGGTGAGGTCCTCAGCCCGCTGTCCCGTCGTCCAGCTCCACCTGCCAGGGCAGCAGACTGCAAAGCACAAGCTGGGCTTTCAGGGTGACTTCAGGGTAACTTCAAAAGGCCTTGTTGCTTTAACAAAAAATTACCCTGAGCTTCATCAAACCAGGATAATACAGAAATTTCTGGATCAGGTCCACGGTTGACAATCCCGGAGTTCAGAAATTTCTCCAAACAAGAACCGGGGAGGGTAAGTTAAGAAAGCAAAACCTTCCTCAATGGTTCGTGCCAAACGCAAAGGAGGTTCCAACGCTTCAGGGAGAAATGAATTTTTTAAAGTTTAAAGCAGTGGCAGGGCCAATCCACACCACATTTTAACAAGCTGGGCAGAGGGACCAGGTGGCAGGGGTTTGGCAGTTTTTAAATGACTTGGTAATTTTAAGAATTAAATGACGCGGCTGCATTTTTATCAACCAGGATTTAATGCACTTGCTTCTAGTCGGCCTAATACTTGGCACATGGGAAGAGTCTCGAGAACACAGCAAAGAAGGGATGGTTTTGCTTTAGCTCTGCCCTGGAGTGTCTGAGCGAGAACCAGCCCTCATTCCATCACTTTGGTTCCACCCGGAGATGGCATTAAATGTGTCTCTATTTAAGGAAACTTAGTTGTAGGCAATGAAGACACGAAGGCCTTTTGTTTAGCTAATTCATGTTACGCAAAGTGCCAATGTGTGTTACAAAGCCTTCTGTAATCAGATGGGTACCGCACGATGAAACGTCGTCTGGGGTCGGGACTGGCAACAGTAAGTGCCACGCTCACGTCACAGCTGCACTCACTCGCCTCCCACAGGTGCGTCACAGTTGCACTCATCCCCCACAGGTGCACAACAGCTGCACTCATTCGCCTCCCACAGCTGCGTCACAGCTGCACTCACCTCCCACAGGTGCGCGACAATGGGCGCGTCGGCCCAGGAGTGCTCTGCGTTCATGCCCACCTTCCCGTTCTTGAAGACAATGAACGTGAAAGACTTATCGAACCACCTATGTGGGAAAGAAACGTTCACAGGACTTAACTGTTTCATAAAGACCGAAAGCAAACAAAAGTCCCGTACTTGTTTTATTCGGGTTGGGCTCCTCTGCCCCCAGCCCCCAAAAGGCTGGCCCACGTCCTGAAATCTCTGCAGAGTGCTGGGAGGAGCACACAGAGAACTTAGATCAGTCACTTCTCTGTTATCAGAGACAAAGATAAGCTGTTCTGAGCTGTGGACCAGCAGAATGCGATTACATCATTCTAACGTGAAGGGACCCATGAGGCAAGCGCAGGGAGCAGGGAGGCCATGCCCCTGCACACACACACACACACACACGCGCGCGCGTGCGCGCTGGGACGAGCCTCACCCCCACCTGCAGGGCAGGCAGGACGGCTCTGCAGACAAGGAAAAGGAGTCCTGAGCTCAGGGAGCAGGCCAGAGCCGATACCCAGCTCAGCCCCGTCAACCGCCTTCTCCTGCCTAGTTCCAGGCGTCTGCAGACACCCCTCTCGCCAGCACCTCCGGTCAGAGGTGGGCGGCAACAGAGAGGGAAAAAAGTCTTCCACTGTGTGTGTGCACGTGTGTGCGCGTGCAGAAAAGAGAACCAAAGCTCAGCCTCATTCCTTCAGGGCAGAGACACCTGAGGCTGGTGGCAGCCACGTTACCTGTCAGAGCACTTGCCGTGGAGGAGAGACTTGGCGTAGCTGTCCATGGATGCATCCGGGTCTTCCTTCCTGTACCCCTGCTCGCTTTCGTCGAGCGTCACGAAGAACGCTGCCTTTTCCACGGCATCGAGGGACTGTTTGTTTTTCCCACGTCCAAAATAGGCCTGGCGACACTTGGCCCAGGGTACTCTGAAACAAGGCTTAGAGTCAAACCTACAGGAACGTGGGGACATCTTACGTGCGGTGTTCAAAATGGCGTTTTTCAGTTTTGTAAGAATTTAAGGGAAACTGCACATGTATGACTCTGTCTGCAGCAGACCGCACCGTCGGTCGGCAGGCCTCCAGCCCGGCGCGTACCTCCGCTCACTGAACGCTGGATGGGCCACAAGAATGCAAGCCCTGAACTTAGCGACCGAGACAGGGCTCCCTGCACCCGTGCCAGCGACGATCCTGACGACGTTGTGGCAGGGGCTGTGAGCACGTCCCTCCTGCCCGGCTCCCCTCCAGCCCTTGTCTACATACGAGCTCACTTACCAGCACTACCACTCCCATCTTTCAGAGGGGGAAACTGAGGCACACAGACATGATCACAGCTACTTTGTGGCAGGAAGAGCTTCCAACCCAAGCTGTCCTACCTAAGTCCATGCTACTAACAGCCACAGGACACCTTGGGAATAAGCGGCACCCCTGGGAGTCCAAGGAATGGGATTCTTTTCATCCTACCTTTCATGGGATACAAGGAGCTGACACGACACCCACTTCCTGAGAGTCACCCCAGCCACGGCTCCTTCAATGGTTGCTAGGACCCTCGCACAGGCCCTCCTCTGGTCCTCGCACACCCACTGTTCCAGATCAGGGTCATCTGGCCTGTCTCCTGCCCTCTTCTCTCCCTGAATGCTCGCTGAGGTAGCCTATGGTACCAACACCCCCAATAAACACCAGGTCCCCACACCCACCCAGCCGGGACCACTGTCATCACTGTCTGCCAGGGATCACAGTGACAACAAGGATGGTCACTAATGCTGTGTGAAGGGACAAGAAGGTGATGGGCCAGCACATACACTCAGCGTCTACGGGAAGAGGAGCCTCAGGGCCGGCCGCCCACGGAGCCCCTCGGGGCAGGGGGTCCCAGGCAAGCCCACTCCTCAGCCGCAGCAATTTGTGCCCACCTGCCCCCTGGGCCACTGATGCTCGTGAGCACACGGGGAGGGAGCTCGTCTCCGGGACACACTGCCCTCCGCCGTTCCTTCCAGCCCTGGTGAGGGCACAGCAATGGCCTAACACCCCCGGGCTTCTGGGACAGGGCCTCCCCTCCAGCTCACGCTTCCCGTTCCAACCTTCACTGCTCGAGGAGCCCCTGGACCAGAAGATTCTCATACACCCGCTCGGGGCCCTCGGGTGGGCCTTTTAAACGGCCGAGTCAAGCCCCAGTATAGGAGGGCCCACGGGACCCTCTCTGCCATTCCCAGCATGGAACATGCAGTCTGCACCCCTGCGGCAGAGCCAGTGTCCTGAATTCAACAGGCCCGCAGCCCTTGCGCAGAGCCTCACTCCTGTCTGTCTTGAGCCCTGGCACCCCGGGCACCTGGATGGGCGGCCGGCCAGCAGGGGCGGGACTCGGACTCCACGCTCCAGCCCCGCCCCCCAGCGCCGCTGCCCCGCCCCCATGCACCCCTCCGGCTGACCCAAGTCCACCGGCCAGACCCACGTCACCGAGGAGCCACACACCTTTCTCCAGCCGTGAGGGCTGCCAGCTTGGCCTCCCCGGGCTGAGGCTCAGAGGGGTCGTCCAAAATGCGCTGCATCTGCTGCTCGATCTCCCGGGGCTTTAGCAGCCTGCCGTCGTGGTACAGCCAGACCTTGAAGTAGCGCCCTTTGTGGAACACCACGATGTGCTTGCTGTCCCGGACGTGCTGGATGGTGTCTGCGGCGGGACGCGGAACCCAGAGGCGGGGGTCAGGGAGAGCTGAGCACGGCCCTGGCCCTCCGACCGTCCTGCGGCCCCAACCCCGCCCCTGCGTCCCTCGGTGGGCCTCGACATCCATTCCTCAAGAGTCTGTAGACAGTCCAGTACAGATCAAAGCTGAGAGATTTGACTCCGTCTCAGCTCCGCTCAGCCAATCACTGCCCGTATGATCTCGGGCCAATGACTTCGGTCTGCTCAAGGGTTTCTACAGAAAACTACGGCAAAGACGCCCTTCGAGCCTTCATTCAAAGTCAGATAAAAGAAGCTGCACACTAGGATCACTTCCACTCAGACGCTACACCAGGTCCTGGCCAGTGCACGGTAAACTAAGAAAGGAGAATCGGGGATTCTCTGATCAGGGAAAGATACAGGCATGGGAACACAGGCCTCTTGCAGCCGCGATGAACCCCAGAAAACCCAACTGGCTGTTGAAATTACTGAGAACACAGCTGGGTAGCTGCTCAGGGTCCACATTTGCCTTCCTCTACCCTAGAGTTCTGGGCCCAACTGAGCCCCTCCCACTCACATGCTTGGACCCCCCCTCGGAAGTGACTGTATTTGGAAGCAGGGCCTTTAAAGAGGTAATTCTATTAACACATTGTGATCAAGATGGACCTTAATCCCACATGACTGGGGTACTTATAGGAAATGATCAGGACACAGAGAGGCACGGAGGGATGACCCCATGAGGACACAGGCAGAGGACGGCCGGCCACATGGGAGGTGAGAGGCCCCGGGGGGCTCCCTGTCTGCACCTGCATCTCGGGCTTCGGCCTCCAGTATGTGGGAACAACGAATGTCTTTCAGCCCCGCAGGCTGCGAGGTTTTGTTACAATGGCCCCCAAAACTAATATATTCAGGAGCCAACAACTCAAAAATACACTTGAAACAACAAAAACAGAAAAGGAGTTAGGAGTAACTAACAGATGAGGCACAAGACCTGGGCAGAGAAAAGTACAGAAGCACCCCGTGATCTGAGGGGAGGTGTTCCAAGACCCCACAGATGCCGGAAGCCGGGGAGCACATTGAACCCCAGCCGCACGCCTGTTTTCTCCAGTCTATGGACCTGTGATCACGTCTGACTTACAAACAAGGTGCAGTACAACGTTAACAACAGCAAACCTAGAGCGATTACATCCTGTGCTAACAGAGCTTATGTGGACGTGGTCTCTCTCTCAAAACACCTGTCCTGGCCCTTCTTCTCGTGATGACGGGAGACAAGTCGCATAGGTATGACACAGGGTTAGGCTGAGGTCACAGGGAATCACCAGCTCCCACGCCGTGGCTGGTCGTGGTTAACCGAGACCACGGAACATGAAACCACGCAAAAAAGGAACAACTATATGGCACTTTATTAAAATCATTTTTTAAAACACTATTACTGGGGCCCCTGGGTGGTTCAGTCGGTTAAGTGTTTGCCTTCAGCTCAGGTCATGATCCCAGGGTCCTGGGATGGAGCCACACATTGGGTTCCCTTCTCTCTCTCTCTGGCAAACAAATAAAGTTAAATTAAAAAAAAAAAAAGTCTGCTTGAGATTCTCACCCCTTCTGCTCGTCCCCCGCTCTCTCTCTCTAAAAGAAATAAGTACTTTAAAAAATTAAAAAAAAAATTTTAAGCATGCTATTACGGTCCCAGCTGTCCCCAAGATGTTTTTTGCCAACTCATCTGCTTTTCACAAAAATCTGGCCACGGATCACTAGACTCCAGACTGAGAGAGACAAAGGTTTTCGAGCCAGAAACAAACAGGCTGGAGTGAGTTTTCAGAAAGCGTCTAGGTCCCGGATCCGAGGAAAGCTGAATCCACTTACGGAAGCTCAGCCAGAGGCCGGTTTCAGTGTCTGAGGACCCCCACGCCTACCACCACGGGACAAGTTCCCACCTGGGGCTCATAGTCCAGAGGTACCCGCTGTAATGACACGCCCAAAAGCCAGATCAGCTCGGGACTCTATACAATCAGCTTCGAAAGTGGCAGTGGGTTAAAACGAATAAAAAAGTAAAAAGCAGCTGTGGGTTCATTTTAATGCCCACCGTAAGGGCTCAGATGGCGTCTGGTTTGCCTCTTGGCGAGTGACCGGTGTTTGCCACCTGCAGGGCCACCCGGAGGCTCACAGGTGGCACAGCCTGAGCCCTAGCTGGCCCGGAACAATCCCAGGTGGTGACATGTCTCTCCCTCTCATTCTCCAGGGCGTCCTAGCTCAGACTACGTGGCCTCCTGGCGTTGTGCGACGGCCGGGGGTGGGGATCAGCTGTCCCAGGCCAGCGTGTGTTACACCAGAACCATGAGTGTGGGCCAGAGCTACACTCCCGAGGGAGCCAGATGAAGAAAAGAGTATTCCTGGCCAGACCTGGGAGGAACACCCCAGAGACAGCCTTCGGCCAAAGAGAAACTGATTCTGAAGATAAGTCACATGCCCGGGCCTAAGAAACACTGAGGAAATTCAACAGAAGGAACATTCCTGAGCCTCAAACTTCACTCTCAGGAAAGGTCAGCGTGAACCTGTTTGCTGCCTATCCGTGACCCCGTATGCAGCGAGCACGGAGCGAACGGGCTTCCCCAAGGGGCCCCACTCACCCGTCTCCTCGCCTGGGATCCGCGATGTGTTAAACATTCGTTCCCACTGAGCAGAGCAGAGTGGAACCGTGGATCCCAACAGACGAATCTACAACAAAAATGCATTTCAAACAAACAAACATTCCTGGGGTGGGGGGACGGGAGGAAGGGGGAAGGAGCAAAGGAAACACTGATCTGTCTTCCGTGCACACAGGGCCTGACTCGTCTCTTCCGAACTGAACTGCGAGGGCAGCTCCTCGCTGGGCCGCCAACCTTGACTGCTAAGACCCGTGGGGCGCGGCCGGGGCTTGGGGCGCAGGCGGGGCTCTGGCCCCCGCACCCCTCCTGCCCAGAGGTCACGCCTTCTAATGGATCATTTGTCACCTGACACTTACACCACAGACCTTTTCCAAACTGACGCTTCTACCAAAGAGCTATCTAAAGAAAGAAATGTCTTGTTCTCCTTGACTAATTCACCAGCTCAACTGTTTTCTTCCAAAGGTAAACAAGAGCTTCTTCCAGCTGAGATCACGGGGTGACATACAGTAGGAATTTAGAACACACCAGGAGCATTAAATCTCACGGTAATTACGGAGAGTGAAAGAAGCGAGATCACAGAGAGAGAGAGCATGTTGCATGGTTTCGTTTGCATAAAACTTTGAACAGTACAAGTGACCCAGAGACAGAAGGCACAAGCGAACTTTTGGGGGTGACGGATGTGTTCACGCCCCGGACCGTAGACACGATGTCAGGGGTACGTTATATAGATACGACAGGACTTATCGAAGGAGGCCTCGAGCCTGTGCACGAGGTCAACAAAGCCAACAAAAAAGAAGTTTCTAGAGCCGTGAGTTTGCGTACCGGCTTGATCTCCTCCCGGTCCAGCCGTCGTCTGTAGAGCAGGATGGCGTGGATGGCGTTGCCCGCTCTCGCTGCCTGGATCTGGGTCGGCAGGATGTACAGCAAGTCCTGAGAAGGTAAACCCGTGTCGGCACAGAGGACGTCCGTGGGCAAAGCCACGCTCACCCAAATACACGGGAGAGCATTTCCGCACTGCTAAAATGTTTCATCGGTGTGAGATCACCCCCGCTCTGACAGAAAAGAAATTGGAACTGTATTTCCTACACTTGGACAGGTTTGTACTTTACAAGCAAATAAAAGTGACAAACAGGAAGAAAAAGGACAAAGAACGAGGCTGCCGGTTATTAAAGCTATTAAATGCCGGTTACCGGAGCCCCAGCTGTGAGGCTTCCAACGAGACAACGGGAAGAGCCCTCCCAGGCCATCCATGCTGCGGAAGACAAGAACCTCCTGGCGTCCCAGGGCTGGGGGAGCCGCGGCCACCTGTCGCCACGCTCTGTGGAGTGGCGCAGACACAGGCCCACACATCACCGCGGCATCACAACGCAGCACCCAGCTGTGATGACAGGCGGAGGGACCACTGATGGCCTCGGGAGTATTTCTGTGGCTCTAATCTCTCGGCAGTGGCTCGGGGCCAACACAAAGGGACAGCCACATGCAGCTTTCAGGCGCGGCAGGCAGGGGCTGGGCCCCGAAGAAAGCCTGGGTCAGAGGGAGCAGGGGCAGGAGCCTCTGGGGTGGCCCGCGGGCCCGTGGGGACGCCCGCTATGCCCGCCCAGGGCACTCACCATGGCATAGTAGTTGCTGTTCACCATCAGCGGCCCCCGTCCTCGCAGGTAGATGTACTCCTCCCACCAGTCGCTCACCTGCGGGAGGCCCAGGGGACAGAGCACCGGCGAGCTCAGCGGGAGCCCCACGGGCTGGCGGGGCCCCTGGGGTGCAGGACGGCTCATGGGTACGAGTGTGTAGGTGGGACACACGCCACGGCCCGTGTGGGAGCCTAAGCCCAAGTGCGAGCTCAGCACATCCCCGCAGCCGGTACCTGATTTAAACGGCACGCGCGCCAGCCGCCTCCAGCCCCGGCTTCTGGCTCCCTCCGGTCACACTGAACACCTCCTCCTGCACCCCACCTCGTACGGCCCGCCAAGTGGCTCCTCCCGCCCGCCCCACGTGGAGAGGCCCGGTGGGTTCGAGGCACGAACTGGCACGTGAACGCATGGACGGACGGCGAGCATGTGCACTTACGTAGTTAGTGGCCCACCAGGATTTTAACTTCAGGTACCACTGCAGTTTGGGCCCAAGGGTGACCGCAAATTCTTCTGCCAGAACCGTCATCCGTTTGAAGTCCGACTCCTTCATCAGAGGCTTCACGGACTCCAGATACTAGGGTTGACACAGAGCACACCCGCCAAGTTCACACACAGGCCCCTTATCTGTGCTTTAGGAAGAACGTAAACATCTTTACAAGATATAAAAATCCCCAAGTAGGGATGCCTGGCCGGCTCAGTCGGAGGAACGCACAACTCTCAATCTCAGGGTCGTGAGTTCAAGTCCCACATTGGAAAAGGAGATTAATCAAAAATAATTTTAAAAAATATTTTTAAATTTATTTGACACAGAGAGAGACAGCAAGAAAGGGAACACAAGCAGGGGGAGTGGGAGAGGGAGAAGGAGGCTCCCCGCTGAGCGGGGAGCCTGATGCAGGGCTCGATCCCAGGACCTGGAATCCTGATCTGAGCCAAAGGCAGCCACTTAACGACTGAGCCACCCAGGCGCCCCTAAAAATAATTTTTTTAAAGGTTGATTTATTTTAGAGAGAGAGGATGAGCAATTGGGGGGTTGGATAGAGGGAGAGAGAGAATCCCAAGCAGGCTCCACGCTCGGGGGAGCATGATATGGGGTTTGATCTCACAATCCTAAGCCAAAACCGACAGTCAGTCATTTAACAGACTAAGCCACCCAGGCTCCCCTTAAAAATAAAGTCTTTAAAAAAAAAAAAAAAGGAACAACTCCACCAAGCTGGTTTTGCAGGTCCTTAAACTAAGTTAACCAGACGGCTTTACATCAGCAACACAGACACAAACACACTCCTTTGTCCCTTACTGTCCTTCCAGCTCTCCAGACAAGCATCACCAAGATCACCAGAGTGACTTCCGGAGTGACAAGATCATGGCTCGCCCAGCAAGGACGTCTCACTGTCTTTACCCATCATTTGGCCCTTAATGAAAGCCCTGTTCCCGCCTACTCAACAGTGACTCAGGACAGTGCTGGGAAGGTGTGTGGGGCAAGCCTGGGACACCAGGGCAGGAATGAGGAGCCAGAGACGGGGAAGGCCAAGCCCCAGGTCAAGGCCAGGTCTCCAGGGACAGGGCTGGGGGAGGCCCCTGACTTTGACCAGCCCCGCCCTGAAGTCAGAGAGCCTAGGTGGCAGGTCACAGATAGGGCAGTGGGCTTCCGAGACCATCATCAACAGCTGCTACCACACACAAGAGCGATCTAGAAAGTAAGGCCACTGGCTTATCAGGAAATGCATCCACCCGCCAAGTTTTATCTGCCGTGAACACAGCTTCGGGGTGGCAGGGAGACCTCCAGGACCCCTCCTTGAAGGTTTAAAAGTAGCCACCACTCCTGAAACAGAGGAACTACTCAGGTTTTCAAGTTTTCTCAAAGTGAGACGCACAGGCGTGGGACTGGAAATCACATTCCGAAGCACGTCAAGCCGGGCACTGGGCTCCGGCAGGCAGAGCGGCAGGTGGCTTGGCCGCCCTCCCGCGGGATGGGACTCCTGGCTGTGGGGCCACAGGTGAGGGCACAGGACAGCAGACATGAGAGGGAACTTGAAAAGGCCAAGAGGGATGAAATAAGGAGTCTGGGATTCAAAAGCCAAGACATGTCCCACTTGGGTTTTAAAATGAGGCCACGAGACAGGCAGAAACGGCCACCCTCGCCAGGTACGGTGGGAATGTGTGTGCTGTGGGGCTCAGCCTGGAGGGTCCTCCCACGCATGAAGCACAGGTCCCATCAGACCCCAGGGCCGCAGTTCCGGGCTCACACCCAGCAGAACGGCAAGCAGGTCTTGAACAAAAGCATTCGCAACAGCCAGAGAGTGGAAACAATTCCAATGTCCAGCAACAGGTTGACTGCATGAATGTGGTGGGGTCCAACTGCCCAGTCAGATATCACTCAGTCATTAAAAGGCAAGATACAGGGACAGACGCTATGGCAGAGACACAGTCTCAAAACAGTCTAAGAGCCACATATCGCAGGATTCCATGTACTGGAAACATCCAGGAGAGGCGAAACCCCAGGGACAGAGAGCAGGCTGTGGGTGCCGGGGCTGAAGGGGGTGGGGTTCGGGTGATGGAAAGTTATAGAACTAGACTGTGGTGGAGATGGCACTATGAGACTGAATTCAGTGCCACACAACAGCACCGTTTAAAGGGGTTAAAATGGTCACATTCGTGTTATATAGGTATACACCGCAATTTAAAACTAGTCACGTAACATACCAAAGACCATTGAATCGGATGCTTCCAGGAACTGTATGATACGTGAATTATATTACAATGAAGCTGTGTAAAAAAATTGTGCAAAACTATCAAATGTGATGCTTTTAAAAATAAAAAACAGCTCACGTGTGCCGATATGTCAGAAAGGAAGAGATCTCTGACAACAGCCAGACGAGTCCACTGCTGAGACCTAACACGGCCAACCAACAACCGGCTGCCATCGGGTCAGCAATCCTAAACCCCAGATGCCCGGTGGCTCGGAGGGGGCGTCCCAGGGAGCTCGAGGCCACACCTACCCTGCTCACGGTGTCCTTGACGGCTGGGACCGGCAGGCGTGGCAGCGACGTCTGGAAGCTGTACAACATGGGTTTTCGGCCCGAAAAGATCTTGACCATACTCTTAAAAAAAAGCACGTTTGAAAATGAGAGACCATGTTAAAGACGTAGAGCCCGTTCTTAACCTGCTGACCCTTTCCTGATTATCTGTGCTTCGCATCTCCATGTCGGGTCCGTTTTCCACCCCATACCTCACAGGCCTTTGCCAACAACTAGGTGACCCCACCCAAAGCCACCCCAAGGCTGGCGGAGGCTTCTAGATGCCCGGCCAGGGTGGGCCCCCAGAGGTTGCTGGCTGACTGCGCTCCCGCACGCAGGCCAAGATCCCCCCGCACCTCTGCGAGGCTCCGGGTTTGAGGACTGGCTCTAAGCCCTGGCCAGGGAGCAGCGCGGGGGCCGAGCTGGAAGGCTGCACCTCAAGCCAACCCCAGGAGCAGCAGCCGTGTGGCCCGTCCCGCCTAGGGGACAGCACACATGTGCCTACTCTCGGCCCTTGCTTTCACCCCGAAGGATGGGAACTTGGTGCTAACCACGGGTCATCTCTTGCTGACCAGACCTCCGAGAAATTCCCCGGGCTCGTAGGGGGCAGCGGGCACTCAGCCAGGAATACGCCCTCCGGGGGAACGTGTTAGCACCTTCCGTAGAGGGTGGGCGCCCCTGCAGACTCCCCTGGGGGCTGATTCTGCTTCTCTGGAAACCAGCCGTCTGACACCCAGGCGAGCACGGGGAGTCTGCTGGGGCGAGCGAAGCCCACGGGTGCGTGTGGGCCCCAGGCGTGCGGGTGCCTCTCATGAGTAGCCCCCAGGAGTGGTGGTCAGCTCGGAGGAGGAGTGGTCACTGGGGGACAGTGGGACAAGCCTCCACGCACGCGGCAACCAAGGGACCCTGAGGCTGTGGCGGAGCGAGCCGGCAGAACGGCGAGGGACACCACGGAAGCCCCACCTTGGAGCTAGTCAGAAAAGCTACAGCCCGGGCGGGCATCACCCTCCTTCGATGGAGAACCTGGACGGTAAACCCAGCAGGCTCCCACATGCCGCGTTCAAAACTCCCCAGCGCCATGGAAGGAAAACACTCCTTGGCCTGCAGTCATGGTGACTCAACCCCCTGCAGCTCTCAGGTCAACCAACCCGTTTGGAAGGAGAGAAAAGTCCCCGAGGATCCCCCTTTCAAAGTAAAAGCTACCTGCATAAGAGCCGGTGCTGAGTGAGACGAGCCAAACCTGGAAGGGCGAATACGGTGGTGAGGCGGGTGGCGGCTGTTGGGGGCACGGGGCTGCCCTGGCACACTTAAGCCTCCGCTAAGATGGCACATCTGACTTACAAGCTCTCACCGCAAAGGAAAGGCAGGGTAGGACACGAGGAAGCTCGGGGAGGGGCGGGGAGCTAAGTGTGCAGCACCGATAATGGCCGTGGTTCCACATGTGCGTACTGACCTCCAGGCCCAACCAGCCGTGCACGCCGCTACCAGCTGGGCAGCCTTGCGCGTACCAGGCGTACCCCAAGAAAGTGCTCAGAAACCATCCACAGCGGCTGGGTGCCACGAGCGCAGCGGGGGTCTCTTACCATCCAGATCTTGGTGGCCCGGCTCATCTTGCCGTGCTGGTCAAACATCCAGCCGTGGTAGGACAGCAGCACCTTGAGGGAGTAGCGCATGGTGACGATGAGGGCCACCCACAGGCCCGTGCCGAAGAGGAGGCCGCTGACCACGTTCTTCGTCTGGCTGGACATGCAGCTGCTGGGGAGACGACACGAGCCGAGCACACATTAGTGGGGACACCACACACCGCCAGCCGGAGCGGCCTTCCCTCCACACGACGGGGACCGTGGACCCCGAGTCCGAGACAGGATGCCACATCCCCTGAGCACCAACCCGGCTCTCAAAGGCTCAGGCACCGCTCTCCTGTCCTCAGGACAAACCAAGCCTCCTGCGCCCTGGTGGGGGGGGAAATGCGCAACTGCCTCCAGGGTCTGGGGACGGGGACAGAGGATGTGTGAGGTGGTGGGCTGTCCACAGTGAAACCCACGGCCCGGGTCCACTGGCAAACCGCCTTAGCTGGGCACCCACCGCACCTCTGGGCCGTTCCCTTCCTGCCCCCTCCTTCCTCCAGCATCACTTCGGATATGGCCAGGACTCACAGACGCTCAGGTCACTTGGGGAAACTGGTGTGGCTGCTTCCCAAAAGAGCCTGGTTTGGATCCAGGCAGGAAAGAAACTGATGCTACAAAATGACCATTTATTTTTTTTAAAGATTTTATTGATTTATTGAGAGAGAGAGCATGAGCAGGGGTTGGGGAAGAGGGAGAGAGAGAATCTCAAGCAGACCACCCAGCTCAACGCAGAGCCCCATTTGGGGCTCGATCCCAGGGCCCCGAGATCACAACCTGAGCTGAAATCGAGAGTTGGACACCAACCATAAAACGGTCATGTAAGTAATAAACTTCAAGAGATACAATTCCTCACTTGCTAAGGAAAGAGACACACTGTATGGCAAAGATGGGACTGTACAAAAGCTCTGTGGTCTTGTTTTTCATTCCAGTTGTTTTGGAAACCACAAGCTAATTATAAAATAAAAGGGATTTAAACACCAAACGTTGGCAAGGACACAGAAAATAGGGAACCTTCGGGCACCGTTGGGGCAGTCACCGTGGAGAACAAGATAGAGCTTCCTCAAAAAACCTAAAAACAGAACTGCCCTATGATCCAGCAACTCTACTTTTGAGTATTTATCGGAAATCAGTCTCTCTCTCTCTCTTTTTTTAAAAGATTTATTTGTTTATTTATTTGACAGAGAGAGATCACAAGTAGGCAGAGAGGCAGGCAGGAGTCAGGGGAAGCAGGCTCCCCGCTGAGCAGAGAGCCCTATGCAGGGCTCGATCCCAGGACCCTGAGATCATGACCCAAGCCGAAGGCAGAGGCTTTAACCTACTGAGTCACCCACGTGCCCCAGGAAATCAGTCTCTTGAAAACACACCCACATCCCCAAGTCCATCTGGCAACGTCCACAACAGCTGAGACATGAAAACCACCTACGTGCTCACTGATGGGCGCATGGACAAAAGTGCGCCATGTACATGGGACGGAAGTTATTCAGCCGTAAAAAGGAAGGAAATCCTGAATTTGGGACAACCATGGACCTCGAGAGCATTACGCCAAGAGAAGTAAGTCCGACAGAGACAGACAGATCCTGTAGGATCTCACTTATATGTCAAATCTGAAACAAAAATCTAAATTCCTAGATCCAGAAAGCGGGGGATGGGCAAAACGGGGGGCAGGTGGTCCAAAGGCATAAACTTCCAGGCCCGCCCGGCTGGCTCCGTTTGGAGGATGCATGACACTTGATCTCAGGGCTGTGAGTTCGAGCCCCATGGTGGGTGTGGAGATTACTGAAAACAAAATCTTGAGGAATAAAAAGGGTATAAACTTCCCATTATAAGACCAAAAAAAAAAAAAAAAAAGGTTTAGGGGTCATGGTAACTATAGTTAGCAATACCATAGTGTATATTTAAAACTGCTAGGAGAGGAGATCCTAAAAGATCTTATTGCAAGAAAAACAAATCTGTACCTACATGTGGTGACATCACTTAATTACTTGTGGTAATCAGTGTGAGCTCCGTGTATCTACCAGATCATTATGTTATACGCCTAAAACTAATATAACGTGGTATGTCAATTATGGCTCGTTTTTAAAAATTATTTTGGCGTGCTTCAAATTATGAAAACGACCAACAGACATAACCTAGAGATACCTCCCATATTTAAAAACCACCAAGTTAATACCTTCCGATAGTTAAGTAACACTGAAACAAATGGTCTTCAAAGTAAAATACTTTTGCTCCAGAACTTACTTGTCAAATCTCGTGTTGTGACTTTTTTTGTAATAGACACACAGATATGTCAATGAACAGCATTAGCAAAAAAAAAAAAAAAAAAAAAAGCTTTCTTTTAAAGAACACGTTCCTTCCGAGGTTGCAGAGCCTGGATGGACGCAGAGCAAACCCAGCCAAGTACATCTGCATTTGTGAAAACAGCCACCTGGGATGGTCGGAAGGTGCTCTCTGGAGAGACGGTTCCAGAATGACCCTCGAGCCTGGGAAGACGCTGACCCCTAACCTGGTCTTTCTAAATTTGGGCCAGGCATGGCCCAGTTCACCGCAGTTGGTTTAGAGGGACAAAGAAACAAATCGTATAAAGACCCAGATTATAAAGGGCTTTAAATAGCCAATACTTCTAAACATAATCCAGGGCTAAGAGCCCACAGTGGAGAGTAAATTAAAACTGCGTTAGACTCACCAGAGTCTGAAAAGCACGCAGAAACACCACGACCCAACGCACGGTCGCCCAGCTATCTGCGGGGGTCACAAGGACAGGAGGAGCAAGGTTTCCCCGGAGTGTCAGGGAATGTCGGGGTCCCTGCCTCGGCCTCCCTGACCTCCAGGCAGAGCAGGGAATCTGGCAGGGGTCCAGCCCAGACATGCTTCCCCTGCAACGATGGAACTTTTATTCGAGGACTTGCAGACACTTGTAAAGGCACAAGCCAGTGCTTTCAAGGCAGTGTGGAGGCCACAAGCAACTCAGCCGGACGGGAAATACTCAGGAGCGTGGGGGTTCCTACTGGAGTTCTGAGCTACCGTGACAGGGAGCTAAGGGTCTGAGGTCCCCCCAGAGCAGTCAGTTCTCAGGGTCACAGACGCCAGTGCAAAGAGCTGACCATGTCCAAGACCAGTTCCTAGAGTAGAAATTCCTTTTGAGGACTCCCCAGCCAGGCAAAGTGCACTGACCACAACCTTGGGCCCTGACACAACGTCCCAGAGCAACCCAGGACCAAGGCCATCTTCGGAGAAAGGGCCAGGAGGGACTCCAAACTCCCTGAGGGCCTTATACACAGAAGAAAGCCTACAGGAGAACAGCCAAGCAAGCTTTAAATGGAATCAGCACAGTAACGGTCCTTATATTTGAAAAGACATAAAAAGGGGTGCCTGGGTGGCTCAGTGGGTTAAAGCCTCTGCCTTCGGCTCAGGTCATGGTTCCAGGGTCCTGGGATCGAGCCCCACATCGGGCTCTCTGCTCAGCAGGGAGCCTGCTTCCTTCTCTCTCTGACTGCCTCTCTGCCTACTTGTAATCTCTGTCTGTCAAATAAATAAATAAAATCTTTAAAAAAAAAAAAAAAAGAAAAGACATAAAAATACCAGCAACAAAAATCACTAACTTCCTAGACAATTGAAGATTTGAAAAGAGTACTTACGTTGTGTCCAGGGTCCGATTGATTTTTGCAATTATCCCCAGCGAGGGGTCGATCTTGGCATACATGGTTGACATCACACCCACCACCACAATAAGCCAACTGGAGGGGCTCGCCGGGTACACACCAGTGATGATGCCATTCTAGAAAGAGAACATGGACCGTGAGTACTGTCCCACCCATTAAGTCCTCGGGCCCTGGCAATGGGGGCAGTGGGATGATGGCAGTGGGTGGGAGGCCTTTGTAGCTCATGGTGGCTAAGTGACCACTGTAGAAAGTCTTCCCCACAGCCTCCAGCCCCTTCTCTTCCTCTCCTTCTGAGCCAAATCCCTCCCTGAAGCAGATACCCTGAGAGTGACCCCAGGACATTTGAATCACCCAAGGCATGAGTTTAACATTGATTCCTGAGCTCCACTCAGACTAATTCATGACACCTTTGAGTTAAGGATGTCACTAAGCCAACCATGAAGTCCTCTCCCCAGTCTGCTACACTTGGGATGCCCCAAGACCCCCAGCCCCAAAACTACCCCTCCTGCCACTCCTGAATCAAGAGGCTTCTCAACCCCCAAGTATTTTCAGGAGACCCCTCTCCACATTAAGAATTTTCTGTATGGGGGTGCTTGGATGCCTCAGTGGGTTAAGCTTCTGCCTTCAGCTCAGGTCATGATCTCAGGGTCTTGAGCCCTGGGATTGAGCCCTGCATCGCATCGGGCTCTCTGCTCAGCGGGGAGCCTGCTTCCCTCTCTCTCTCTGCCTCCTGCTCTGCCTACTTGTGATCTCTGTCAAGTAAATAAATAAAATCTTAAAAAAAAAAAAAAGAATTTGCTGTACGATCCCTCAGCCAAACCCCCCTACTTCCCAACCCTAAAAACCACAAAGTGGTAAGAGCAGAAGGCGGATATGAAACAAAATTCTGGAACCCAGGTGAGCCTTGTGGCTCCTTATTCTCTTTATTTCTGTGTTTTAAAACTTCTAATTAAAAAAAATTCCTTTCTTAAAAAATATTTTTATTTATTTGAGAGAGAGAGAGCATGAGAAGGGGAAGGGTCAGAGGATCAGAAGCAGGGATGCTGAGCAGGGAACCCAATGAGGGACTCGATCCTAGGACTCCAGGACCATGATCTGAGCCAAAGGCAGTCGCTTAATTGACTAAGCCACCCAGGCGCCCCCCAAAAATATATCTTACTAAAGCCATCTTAACAAGTGATCAATTTGATCAAGACAATGGATTTAAAAACTCGCAAAGCTTATCTGAATTCTTTTAGGAGCTACGTGCACCCTCACATGTCATTCCCCTGGATTTCCTATTGTCTAGAAGTGTAAGAAAGACATCTTCTAAAAAGTAGGGGTTGTCCTGGTGTTCTCTGATAGGCACATACACCTACTATGTGACGTCACATTAAAGTGGAGGCAGGAAGGGCCCAGATAAAAGGTCTCCCACTCACTCCAGCCTCCCCCTGCAGCCGCTCTAAGCTACGAGCCAAGCCGTGCTCTGTAACCACGCAGTCAGACGTGGCTGTGAACCATTTATCTTCTCTCTTCCAGCCTACTGGTCTTGCCCCCTCAGCCCACCAACGGATTTTTTTCTTTTTAAAGGAAAGTTGCTAAGAGTGTAGATTTTTAAAAAAAAAATCTTTTTAAAAGAGTTTATTTATTTATTTGACAGAGACAGAGATCACAAGTAGGCAGTGAGGCAGGCAGAGAGAGAGGAAGGGAAGCAGGTTCCCTGCTGAGCAGAGAGCCCAATGCGGGGCTCGATCCCAGAACCCCAGGATCATGACCTGAGCCCCATACAGAGGCTTAACCCACTGAGCCACCCAGGCGCCCCACAACAACAACATCTTTAAACGAGCATTTCCAGTGGCTTACAGGGACTGACGCCACAGCTCTACACCCAAGTCTCCCTTTTCCGGGATCGGAGGGTAAAAAGGATCTGCTCTGGGCAAGGTCAGGTGGCAATGAGGGCTTCCTCCTGTAGGTGGCGACTCCTCCACCTCGGGGGGCCGCCGTGGGGGCCACCGGCTGTGCGGGCAGCGCCTGTCCAGCCTGGCCGGTTGCCCGGGCCCGTCCCCCGTCTCTGACTCACTGCTCCCACCTATTCTGGCTCCTCCTCATAGCCACAAGGAAACTGGAGAACAAATGCAGTTTGCAGTTTTCCTCATTCCCCGGGCAGGTAACGCTGAACTGTCTCCCCACCTGAATTCCTTCTGAACGCACCTTTTCCTCCTTCTGCGATTTTCCAAGTCAATTCAAGGACAAACAAGTGAAAAAACGAGACTCGTGCTTGATTAAAAACCGTGAATACCTTTCCAGTCTTTTAGGAAAACAGAACTGAGAACAGGGGAAGTTGCCTCTGCTTGGATGGACGCTGGGATTTCGCCATCCGGCGGTGTGATCAGCAAGGCACCTGTTAGATAAGGTCCCCGCCTGCGCCCGGCTGGGAGACCGTCCTCTTTCTGGAAGGCCTCAAGAGTTCTGGACTCAGAGACATGGGTTCTAGTCCTTCCTCTGCTTCTCTGAGCAGGTCACTCGCCCTCTCTGCGCCCCCACTCACCCCCAGAGCATGCTGGCGCCCCGGTCCGCCTTACAGCACTTCTTCCAGAACTCAGGCCGCGGGTGTGTAAGCGGAAGCGTGTCCTAAGTGCCATAGGAGCATCCACCGCGGACGGCTCTCCGAAACACGCCCGCCGCGCCAGCGCCTGCCCCCGTGAGCCCCGCACAGACTGAGACAAGGGCTGGCCCACCTTGAACCTGATGAACTTCTTCTTCCAGGAATGCAGTCCGGACAGATAGATCTGCTTGAGGGCTTCATGGCTCAGCCGCAGGTCGATCCCGTCCGGGGTGACCGTGAACTGGAAGGCCACGGCTTGGTGGGCTTCTGCCATCTTCGGCAACGTCCTGGGAGGAGGAGGAGAGGGGGCGAGTGTGATGGGGCCGGCATATCACCGGACATTAGAAAACCCCTCACCCGGACCTGGGGTTCGTTCCACATGAAGTCTTTCCCAGCCGTTTCCCAAACTTAATGTTCCACTCACAGACCCAGTTCCGGTACAACAGGCCCCACTGCCCCCTCCCCCTTCCGTCCAGCACTGCACAGCCCACTGTCGCCTCTGCTGGGAGGCTGGGGGTGGCCAGCAGAGTCCAGGAGTGGAAACCCCCACCACCATAGGGCTCCAGGCCCCAGGCCCACGCAAACCCCTATCCCCAGCCCCAGCCATCCTACCGAACCATCCCTCCAGGCCAGCAGCCCCGGCCACACCCAGCTGACGCTGGAAGCCGGTGGCCATTTCACCGCCTGCCAATCTTATCCCCACCCACCAGCCGCCTGGAGGCTGGCACAGAAGAAACCTGGAGGGTCCCCAGATGAGTCCTCGATGGCCCTGAACCCCTTAACTCCAGGCAGGAGCACTGGACTCTGGGATGCGTGTGGGGCTCTCTGGAAACCATCTCAGGCGCCACAAGACCCCATGGAAAGGAGACACACGGAATCTTCAGGAATAGGTGTTTATGGGCGCCTACGGACGGAGCCAAGTCCCCTTCCTCCTCCTCCTCCTCGGAGGCCGTGACTGACTTGAGTCAACAACCCAAGGGGTGGAACCTTAACTAGGGGGGCATTTACCCCCTGCAAGCAGGCCCGCTTGGGCTACCTGTCCCGCCCCAATGACTAGAAACGCGTTTCCTTTCAACAGCTTCAGAGCCGGGTCTATCCCCGCTCCCCTCCTCCTGGCTCCCGTCTTCTTCCTTGGGGACTCCCGAGCACCTCATGGCCTCCCTCCCGTGAAGCCGGCCCCTCTGCCACCTTCTGGAGCCGTGGGACTGAGCCGTCTCTTCCTAAACTGTCCCGGAGCGACACGCCATTCAAAGGAAGCGAACAGAGTGGGGGGAAGCTTCCAAGAACCGTAACAAAAATCCACAATCCTGTGTGTTTTCTTATCACCAGCTATGTCTCCCGTTCTCACCTGCTGACGCCTGCTGAGCGCGGGTGGTGGACCCACCGACCTCGGCAGGTGCCGCGCTGTCAGACATGCCCAGTAAAAAAGCCAAACCTGCTTCGCTTCGGCTGATTGGAACAAACGCCCCATCAGAGGCCCCAAGGGGCACACAGCCTGCATTCCTTTGCTCCTTCCACAAGCGTGTGTCGAGTGTCTCCCACGTGCCAACATTGCGATGTTGGTGGGGAATCGTCCTGCCCCCAACAGCTCAGACAGGGAGGCCGAAAGAAGAGGGGGTGTCGGACGGGACCTCCCGGGTGACACGGAAGCCCAGGAGATGATCGGCCACAGAGCAAGCCTTTCCGGCCCAGAGGTAGAACAGGACTCTAGTAGAGGTCAAGGGCAGGTCACGGGCAGGCAGCTGTGTTGGAAGGAAGGCTCAGAGGCAGCCAGGGGAGGCTGCTGGGTTTTACACCAAAGGTAAAGGAGAAACGTCCAAGGGCTTTAAGTTACTTTTTCTGCTCTCATGAAGACCACTCTGGGGGCACCTGGGTGGCTCCATCGGTGAAGCGTCCCACTCTTGGTTGCGGGGTTGTGAGATCAGGCTCCACACCGGGCTCTGTGCTCAGCGGGGAGGCTCCTTGGATTCTCTCTCTCCCTTTCCCTCTGCCCCTCCTGCCCGTGCTCGCTCACTCTCTCTCTCTCTCAAATAGATAAATCTTTAAGAAGAGAAGAGCTCTCTGGCTGCAACATGGCTGGTGGCAAGGCAGGGAAGCAAGACAGTAAGAAGCAGAGGCTGCCAGTCCTCCAGGGGACGGTGGCCCAGAGTGGCATGAGTGGGGACGGGGAGGACAAGCCACCCCAGACAGGCTTCAGCGTCACCCTGGAGCTTCTGGCTTGAACCGTCCGTTCAGGGGCGCCCCTCCCCGACACAGGAGAGTCCCTGCGTGGGGAGGACAGGTGGGGGGTGGGAGGGGAGAAGTGGCATGTGGACCCACCACATCTGACATCGTTGGGGGCAGAAGGAGAGGCTGGGGTGGGCAGCCCCAGGCAGTGTCCGCACACAAACCTATGAATCCACTTTGATCATTACGAAGGGAAGGAGCAAGTCAGCCAAACTGCAATCTGCTGGGAATAAAACCTCAGCTGAACGGGACCTGTAGTGTGTCCCTGGTGACCCAGGTATGACTCAGCAGACACAGGGCCCGCCGCTGTAGCCCGGCCAGCGTCGCGGAAACGGATCCCGAGCCTGAAAACAGCAAGACCTCCAAGCAAATGCCTCCTGCAGATAGTTCAGGATGTGGAAGAGGGTACCCCAACAGCTCTGAATCCTTTCCTCGAAAAGCTACCCAAGTGGCTCAAGGTCCACCCTGGACCCCTCTCCACGTGCCGCGGGAGCTGGGCATCACAGGGATGATTCTGCCAAGCGGGAAGCAGAGCAAAGTTAGAGACTGGCCACCCTTTCGGTGATCTGTAAGATCTTTCAAGGGCTTTATACGGAATATGGACATGAGGGATTATTAATGGCAGTAGAGAGAACTTAAACAGAGCGTCTGCAGCGATTCGATCCGAAAGCACGGGTCCAGTGCTCGCTGGCGTATCTGCGCTCTGCTGGGGACTGCGGGCAGGCAGGGGGATGTGTAGCTCCCTTCCGGGAGTCAGTGGCCTTGTCAGAACCCTGACTTTACTAAGGATTTGATCATTTGGATTGGTTCACAGTAAAAACCAAAGATAAGAGTCCTGAATGGACAATCTTCCTCTAGTTCTGCGGTAGGCAAGCCGCTGCCCTGCGCCGGCCCCCGCTTAGAGCCATTGCGGTCATTCGTGAATCGGCCAACAAAGGTTTGAAAAACTCCCCCTGCTAATCTAGTAGAGGGAAAATCCCACCCCCTTTCCCAGCATCCACAGCCCACGTTTAATGGTTACAGGGGAAACTGGATGGCTCAGCCGGTTAAGCATCTGACTCTTGATCTCAGCTGGGGTCATAATCTCAGGGTCACGCCTTCACGCCCCACGCCAGGCTCTGTGCTGGGCATGGAGCCTACTTCAAAAAAAAAAAAAAGAAAGAAACAATCTGTGCTTATGATGCCCCCTCCTGTAGCCGTTGGAGAAATGCAAATCAAAACCAAGGCCAAATGCCACCACACACCCACTAGGACAGCCAGAACCCACGAGACCGAGGGTTAACAGGTGCTGGAGAGGCCGCGGAGAACCCGGAACCCCCACGCACCATGGGTGGGGATGTGCGATGGGCTGGCCGTGCTGGAGACCAGTCTGGCAGTTTCTCAAAAGGTTCTGTTAGCACACAGCCCCGCGCTTCCACTCCCGGCTGCCCAACACGTGTCCGCTCAAAGTCCCGCACGCGGAGGTCTGTGAGATGCCATGACGCACAGTAGCCAAAACAAACACAGAGACAGCCCAAACGTCCTTCCCTTGACGAGCAGCCGATAAAACGTATCGATCCAGCAGACAGAGCAACAGAGTGTTCTTTGTAACGGAGGAACGAAGCATGTCGCAGGCGACTAGAGCCTCGAGAACCTTCTAGTACGGACAGGCCACCTGCTGCCCACGCCCATGTATGCGGAGCGTCCAGAACATGGGGGGCTGGGACCCACGGGGACCCACGGGGTGGGGGGCGCGGGCACCGCGAGGGGCAGACGGCTGAGGGGAGGGATGGCTTCTTGCCGGGGTGATGAAAATGTTCGAAAGAAACCCGACCACGGTGCTGGGTGCCCGTCTGGGAACAGACTGACGGCCACGCACGCGTGCATTTCGGACAGGCGTCGGATGGCCCGTAAGTCGCGTTGCCCTAAGAGCTGCTACTAAAAAGGAAAGCCGCCTCCTGAAACTGAAGTATTGTCTATTCAACAGTAACTCACCTAAACCTTCTCCTCAAATATATAATGCAGGTGGGCGGGGCCGCTGGTGTCCCACTCAGTGAGGACTCACTGCTCCCAGCCACCGTCAGCTCGCGACATCCGAGGAAGACGTTAAATATTTTTAGGGGGTGTAGGATATGGTGGTTATTTGTTAAAAGACCTGCACATAAAGGGACGGCTGGGTGGCTCAGTCAGTTGGGCGTCTTGCCTTCAGCTCAGGTCATGGCCCCAGGGTCCTGGGATCGAGCCCCGTGTCGGGCTCCCTGCTCAGCGGGAGTCTGCTTCTCCCTCTCTCTCTGCCTGCCCCCTGCTCGTGCGCTCTCTCACTCACTCGCTCTGTCTCGCCCACCCAGTCTCTCTCAAATAAGTAAATAAAATGTTTAATAAAATAAAAGAGCCACCATCTTTTAGCAATGCACACCGAAATACGTATCAACACAATTTCATCCTTCGTCGCGTGCAGGGTCTGCTTCCAAACCCCTGGGTGTGCAGGGACGGAGGGACGGACTGGCCACGCGTGGGAACTGGTGAAGTCGGGCAGTGGCCATATTGGGGGGGGTCTGTTATGCTGGTCTCTTTTCTTCTGTAGGTTTGTGATCCTCTCATAATCATTTCTTTTTAACATTTTTGTTTACTCATTTGACAGACAGAAATCACAAGTAGGCAGAGAGGAAGGCAGAGAAAGTGGGGGGGGAAGCAGGCTCCCTGCTGAGCAGAGAGCCCGATACGGGGCTCGATCCCAGGACCCTGAGATCATGACCTGAGCCGAAGGCAGAGGCTTAACCCACTGAGCCACCCAGGTGCCCCCTCATAATCATTTCTTAAAATATGTTGAACAAAATAAAACAGCCGTCTGCTGTAGCTCAGTGCTCCGTCCGACACTTGGAGACTCACTTCCAAAGCTTCCAGACCCTTCCAGGGCTTGGCAGTGGCCGCCTTTCTGGGCACACCTGCTCCCGGCGAGCCCCACAAGCCACAAGCCAGCCCCCACAGAGCAAGGGGAGGCCCCAGGCCCCACGCCCGGAGACCAAGTGAAATCAGGAGAGGGGTCCGTTTCCAGGGCCGCTGCCTGCGCACTAGCCTGCCC